ATGGACAAAGTCGTTCCAGCGCATCTAAGAAACGAAGTATTCGTTTATTTAGACGATCTTCTTGTGGTTTCCTCCAACTTTAACAGTCATCTTGACGTTCTCAGAGAGATCGCATTTCACATCAAGCGTGCAGGATTGACAATCAATATTGGCAAAAGTCATTTCTGTATGCAACGGGTGCGTTATCTTGGCCATATTGTTGGCGATGGCGGAATCCGAACAGATCCTGATAAGGTCAAAGCAATTACCGAATTTCCTGTTCCTAAAACTTTACGAGGTTTAAGGAGTTTTATGGGATTATGCGGCTGGTATCGCAAATTTGTACCAAATTTTGCCTCTCTTGCTTCTCCCTTAACCGACTTGATGACAACAAAACGTAAATTCTGTTTGACTCCTGAAGCACTGAAGGCATTCGAAGCGCTGAAGAGTCGTCTTAGTGAAGCTCCGGTATTGAGTAGCCCGGATTTTTCTAAGCCGTTCGCCATCCATTGTGATGCTAGCAAGACTGGTGTCGGTGCCGTCTTGGTACAATTATCTCAAGAGGGAGACGAACGTCCGATAGCTTTTATTTCGAAGAAACTAAATCGTGCGCAGAGAAACTATACCGTAACCGAACAGGAGTGCTTAGCAGCTATAGTAGCCCTGAAGAATTTTAGAGCATACGTGGAAGGACACGAATTTACCATCATCACCGATCACGCATCGCTCAAGTGGCTCATGTCCAATCATGACCTTAGTTCTCGTTTAGCTCGGTGGGCATTATCTCTTCAAAGATTTCGATTTAAGATTGAGCATCGAAAAGGTTCTTTAAACATCGTTCCCGACTCCTTGTCTCGCGTTAACGAAGATGAAGTAGCAGCATTAGATTTTCGTGAAGGGTTGCTGGTTGATTTAAATTCAGAGCACTTTAAATCTGCTGCGTATCAAGATTTGGTAGCAAAAGTTTCGGCAAATAAAGTAAATTTCCCTGACTTAAAAACAGAAGACGGCTATGTTTACAGAAAAGCAGAACATTTGACAGGTGAAAAGGTTCACGATGAATATGCCTGGAAGTTATGGATACCGACAGAATTGATACCTGAAGTCCTCTTCCAAGCACATAACAGTCCTTTGGCCTCCCATGGTGGCATCCATAAGACTATCGAGCGTGTTAGAAGATATTATTTTTGGCCTCGTCTTGTGCCTGACATCAAAGCATATATCAATGCTTGTGAGACATGTAAAACAACCAAATCACCAAATCAAGTTCTCAGACCGACTTTAGGAAAAGCACCAATAACTTTTAGGCTTTTCCAACGAATTTTCATTGATTTTCTTGGTCCTTACCCTCGATCGAGAAGTGGAAACATAGGCATTTTCATTGTCCTCGATCATTTCTCTAAATTTGTATTTTTAAAACCTGTTAGAAAGATAAATGCTGATGTCGTAATAAAGTACCTTGAAGGCGAACTATTTATGACATTTGGTGTTCCAGAAACTGTCGTATCAGACAACGGGTCACAATTCCGTTCTGTAGCATTTCAGAAACTTATGAAGCAGTACAAAATTTCACACACGCTAACAGCTGTTCACTCGCCTCAGGCCAACGCTTCTGAGCGCGTAAATCGTTCTGTCATCTCAGCTATTAGAGCGTACTTGCGTCCTGATCAAAAAGACTGGGATGAGTATTTGAACAAGATATGTTGTGCCTTACGATCTTCGTTTCATTCTAGTATTGGTACCACACCATACTATATGGCTTTTGGTCAGCATATGGTTACTTCAGGATCAACTTATGCTTTGTTAAGAAAATTGAATATGCTAGACGACCGCTCGCTATTGTTTAATAGACAGGATTCTTTCCAGATAATTCGCGAAGAAGCTAGTAAGCAAATGCAGAAAGCTCACGATCGTAACGAAAAGAGATACAACTTACGTTCAAGAGAAGTATCTTTTGTGGTAGGACAGGAGGTATTTCGACGTAACTTCAAGCAGAGTTGCTTTCAAACAGGTTACAACGCCAAATTTGGACCTTCCTTCGTAAAAGCACGCATTAAAAGAAAGATAGGTAATAATTACTACGAGCTTGAAGATTTGCAAGGGCGACTGTTGGGTAATTATCACGCCAAAGACATTCGCCAATGACGTCACTCCAGGCGGTATCAGCCTAGGGTATCTAGAATGAAATACCCTAGTCTGATTGCGGCAGGGGGGTTTTGTAACGGCGCCTGTAGCGACCAGATAGTTTAGTTCGGCCTAGAAGCATGCTTTAAAATATATCTAAGCTCGGCTTAGTGTCTTAGCTAATTACACATATGTTTGATAAATCAGCTGTAACAGAGATGCAGTGGGAAGCTCGTTTTAGACATCTGGTGTTATCATCTGTGGCGAACTTCCGACCATACCCTAGCCTAACACTACCTATATTTGGTAAGGTTCTTTTCTGATTGACATCCGATATGAGCAGACGTGCCAATTTTTCTCAACGTCAACAAAGTTTTGTTTAAATACTATATATTGAAATCGTGGAAAATAATAAGAGGAATAAGTGCAGCGAGCCTAGCTGAGTAATATTTTTGTGATTAATTTTGGAAAACTATTGAGATATATATATGATATATATATTTCTCACGTGGCCATCAATACTGGCATCCGTGGGAGCTCCCCTTCAAGACAGTGGGGGGCATGATTTAATATCGTGCCCCAAATTAAATCGGACAAGAAAAATGAGGAGTTTCAACTGGAATTAAATTCAAGAATGCGGCATTAAAGAAGTGATTTGGAGAGATGTTTAACCCTCTCTACCCACGGCAGCAGCAGCAGCAGATTTAGTATAGCCAAATATGGACACAAAAGGGAATATATAACCTGGAATTGCTTTTAAGCCGCTACTGCGATTTTTTTTAAAGTGAAATATTATAATTAAAAATTTGAAAGTTTTGAAACGTGCCAAAGTGAAGAAAATTTAATGAATCAAAGATAGCAACATGCCGTAAAAATCAAGTTTAAGTGATATTTTCTAAAGTCTGAATGATTCAGTCTAAAACGTAATATTTAAATTAAATTAAATTTAAAACTTAATTTTTCACGAGTGGAGTTATTTACGCATCGATTTTGTTTTGGAAAATTCGCTCAACTATGACTTAAAAGCGATAAATTAAATATTTATTTTTTTTTTGTAAATTTAAATATAATTTGAAAATAGCAACTTCTGATAAGAAACAATAGTGAATATTAAATTTAAAAATGTGGTTAAGTGAAGATATCACAGTCGCTTCTCAGTAAAATATGTAGGCCTAAAAGGGTTCCAAGTTAAAAGATTTTTATAGAATAGTTTTGTGTTTTCGAGCCCCAATTTCACCCTTTACAGCCACCTGCCCGGGAGATCGATCTTTCGCCGCTGGAACAACGTATAAGCTGTGAGTTTATTATTCTCATTATTGCATTTATATCTATTCTATTTATATCTTATTGCGAAATACTCTATGAAATAATTTTTAACAATCTACTTGAATGAAACTGTGAATTTAAAAGAACCCTGAACCGATAGCCTCACTAAACTAAATTAAATTAAACAAAAAGATATCAAACAGAATGAAGATGATTTAGTGAAATAAAAAAATAAATTAAAGCAATGAAATTTAAATATCTATTGTTATACCAGAGTAATATTTTTTATTGGTGAAGTACGATATCTGAATACCCTATATTTTTCTTATTTCTTATCTTTTTAAATATATACGAACATTATAACTACTTTAATTTATGAGGATAACATCATTTAAATATTTAAGTATCTAAATAGTATTTTTATCGCCTGTATATCATTTATTATATTTATATAAAATTTGTAGTATCTACCTGTTAGCAAATAACAATAATGAATTCTTGTATAACTATTAATTAAATTGTATTTGAAATGAATTTCGAGTAGTTCACGTTTTTTTTAACTCGGCTGATGCTTCCACAATCGTAGGGTATTAGGGGTCACCGGAGTTTAGCTCTGAAGGATGGTGATCATAGGTAGGGTGGGCATTTCGCGACCACGACAACATCTGTGGCATCGCTGATTCTAACTTTTCTCGATCTTTTCTATCTCTTGTTTCTTTTGAATTTTATCTATTTCTCTTCTGATTTTGATATCTCGCATTTATTTTCGTCAGCACACTCAATTCTGGTCTTAAAAATAATAATATGTAGCTAGTGTGCGGATTTGTCTAAGCAAGACCTCCACCCCCAAAGCAGACGAGCGAGAGCCGGACCCTATAGTGTGCACCCGCAAGGACAGATCCTAGAACTCACCACAGAATACCTTCGTTACACGCTACATCTCCTCCTCCTCCGCCTTTAGACCATATTTTCCAGGGCGAACAAGCGCTGACAGTTGACTTTTCGCATTGCACGCCCCGAGGAGAACAGCTCCACCTCCTCATCCCCATCCTCCTGCTGCTTTCTTTATTCGGGCTCAAACTCCACTTGACTCGACTCTCGGTCTCCCTTGTAGACCAAAGTGAGTTTGCTCAAGTTTCGTCTTGTGCGCTCCTCTCCTCCTTTCTCCTTTTTTTTGACATAAAAGTGAAAAGCATTTAAATATAAAAGCAGCGTACAACTACAGAAAAGAGCAGGCGGAAAAGGCGGGGAAAAGGGGGAGTGGCAAGGGGGGAGGCTACTACCTGGGCACTTTATAATTTTCTCGGCAACATTGGGCCACATTGTTTCGCCCGAAGCGCCAGTTGAGTAGTGAAGCAAAGTGGAGTGGAGGAGCTGCAAGTGGAAGTGGATGTGGATGTGGAGGAAGTGGAAGTGGAAGTGGATTCCCCTCGGATCCGAAAGACAAAGACTCTATTTCATTTCCTTGCGTTCCGCTGCGTCACCTCAATGGCATAAATTAAATGCACGATTTCATCGCCTGAATGCGATTTGTGTCAAAACCCATTTTCGTCCCGTCATGTCCTGCCGTCTTTGGATGGACTGTCTTGTCTGCTTGGAGCGGACTCAAAAAGGACCTTTGTTCTACTCACCATTGTGCATGGCCACACTCTTGTCCTCGACGCGACTCACGTAGCAGCAGAGCTCGTCCTGGCGCTCCGCGTTCTCGATCAGCTCCGCCTCCACGGAGAAGCCCCACATCTGCTCGAGGGTGGTGCGCTGCAGCTCCACCTGGTACAGGATCTTCATGCACACCTCCACGAACTCGTGATTATGTAGCTGTTGTGAAAAAAAAATAAAAGTTAGTATTTAACTTTTAGGAAGTGCAATTTTAGCAAGACAAGGATATAAATTTATTTTTTTAAGACCTAACTTTCTTCATCAAGTTATGTTGTAAATTATATTATGTTAAAAACAAGAGACATTTTTTTTACCATTATTACATTCTGTTTTTATATCTAGTTTCACTTTTTTTGCTTACAATAATCCCAGTTTGACAATCAAAATAAAAACTAAGACAATAAGATAAAGTTCCCTTTCAAATTTTACTTTAGATTTTACTAGCTCACCATGATATTTTCTACAATATTTTCTATTTTTTTCTCCTTAATAATTCCGTCATGTTGTCTTTAAAAAACAAACAGAGCTTTTTGGACCCGCTTTTCGTTCGTGCAGAGCGACAAATCGATGGAAAGTGAGTTTGAGTGCGGCAGTTAAGTGCCAAATTAGCCGAGTTACGCAAGCAATCATCGGAGGAGGAAGAGGGCTGCGGAATGGAAATCCATTGATTGAGTGGAGTTGCTGGGAGTTGCTCAAGTTGTTGTCGAAATTTATTGAACTGCCACCGGCGAACGAAACTTTTTAGCAGGCCCACCACTGCGATTCGCACACACCCACTCAAATTCCAATTCGAACTCCATTTTCAGTTGCACTTGCACATTTTTGCCATTTGCCAATTGGCCTGCCCGGGCCAATATTTACTAGCTTGTTGTTGAGGTCGGAGTTCGGATTCCGGCGGCTTTCGGGTGCCGGGGGGTCGAAAGTTTTCAGCTAGCGGCTAACTTGGCAGCTGGCTAAAGTCTCACCTAGACTAATCGTGTGCCAAACGGAGGGGAAAAGGGAAATGGCCAACGGGAAAGTTCATAATTTATGGCATTATGTTTTTGGGAAATCGAAGAGAAATGAGCAAGAACGGTTGTGCAGTTGAGCTAATTGTGGAGTTTCGTAATTTTGTTGCAAGTTGCTTCTTCAGAAAAAAGCAGCGAGTAATCAGAAAATCTCAACCAACAGTTTTTGTGGGAGGAATATTAAGATAACTTTGGGAAGCGTTTTTAATTTTGTATTCCGCTTGAAATAATTAAAATCTGATACTCGTGAAAACAAATCAAAGATGTCTGAGTCAAGAACATTTATATTGTCTTCAAATTAAATTCAACTACTCACATTTCAAACAAGAAAATGGCAAACGGATGTCTATTTAAATTTTAATGATGTGACAAGATGACTGAAATAAGATACTTCCCTGAAGCAAGTTTTCTATGAATATGTGTGAAATAATAGGAATTCCTTTTAAAATTCCCAGACGACAATTATTTAAATGGGCATAATTAAATGCGACGCAATTAAAGCTACCTGCAGCATTGCATTACATTGTCACATAATATTAAACTTGCAGCACTGCACTTTCTCTCATCTGTTTGAGAATTCCCCCCAGCGACGTTTCCAAATTCCATTTGCACGACTCCACATGCAATTTCCAAGTTAAATTCGATAAGTTGAAGTTGAATTGAACTTGGGGTTGGGGTTGCACCCTCTCCAGTTGCAACACCCCCTTCCCCTGCATGGCATATTCTGGCTTTGATTATGTACTTACATAATTTTCAATCAGATCGTTGCGATGCGGCACAAAGTAATTGTGATCCTCCATGTCACGTCGCTTCTTGACGCGCACAAAGTGCTCCATGGGATTGAGGTTGCGACGGGCGCAGGCGCTGGCGAGGAATTCCTCCACAGACATCGCGTCACGTAGATAAACTGTCGAGTAAGCATTGTCGGGCATTGCAACTTTGAAAGTTTTTTCCGGTTCGTCACGTGAATTCATCTGGAAAAAGGCAGAAAATTCGATTGGATAAACAGGCACACGGACACACACGTACAATGTCATTAAGCAGTCAGGCACAGACATTTGCGAACCTCACACACACATACATATAAATGCACAGATACAGATACAGATTCAGAAACAGGATACTCCACACACACACACACATATTCTCGAATATGGCCACACGGAAGTGAAAATTGAAAAATAGCAAACACACATTTGTACCCGCAGTTTCTGCCCCTCGACCCCCGCATATGTAATGAAAAATGTCGCCAGCAGCAACTCAGACATCGTTACAAGCCACACAGAGCAAAAAAAGACAGTATTAAGTCGGGATAATTGCCTCGAGCCGAGTCGGAAAGGTGAGAGAAGTCAAAAAGCTGAAACGATTTTCCTTGACTTAATTTGTCTTGGGGTAAAATAACGATTCCTGAAACACTGCAGCTCACTTCCAGACAATTATTGTTTAATTAAAAAACCTTTGCTATCTATTTAAAAAATATGTAATTTGAATTGAGATAAATTGGATTTAAGATAATTATTTCAAATCTACATAAAATTCTACATAAGAATTAACAAATAAAAACTTATCATATTTAATACGTATTTAAAGTTGTCTACTTCAAGATCAATCATACAGTAACAACAAATCATCCCAAAAAAAAAACAAAATCTGACTCCTAAAAAGTATTATAAAATCCTTCTACAATTTGATAGCATTTTTTTCTCAGTGCAGGAGCAGTAGCAGAAGCATTCGCGGATCCGGACCTGCAGCAGGATCTACTGCCTCACCGAAGTTTGAAGAAAACTCAGTTAAAATGCTTAACCGTTTCCACAACGTCATCGTCATCCAATGTTAACTCCGTGATGAGGCTTCCTGCTGCTGCTGCCGGTTCGTCCTGTTGGTCCTGCTGGCTGCTTCCCAACTGCAACTGTAAACGAATCAGGTGGCCCAGCTGCCAGTTGTCGGCTGCTGGAAATTGCATTTGTATTGGCAGCCATTGGCAATGGGTTCGCTCAAGTTGGAGGCAGTAGTTCTACCCTTCAGCTGCTCCTGGCCAGGTAATACACTCACACCTACACACACACACGCAGGACAATTGAATTAGTTTGGCAGTTGGCAAAGGCAACCGGCTAGAAGAACTGACGGAGCCTCCGTTTGCATTTGCATTGCACAACAATTTTGCATATCGATTACGGGATCATTATGCCAGCCCAAATATATCAACTTTATATTCATGGAAATATTATATATGTGCGGTAAGAAAGAATTTCTCAGGAGTGAAGGAAAAATTAAATGTAAGGAAAGCGAAAGGAAAAATTCCACTTAAAATAGAAAATACCGTTTAAATTTAATATTTAAGTTACAATTTGATGATATTTACTAGACCCAAAATTTCCAGAAATACTTCATTTGCAATGGAAATAAAATCTGTGAGACAACATTTGATTGAATGAACAACATTTTAATTGGTCAAATTTGTCACAATAGGAGGTCTGTTGGCAAATTGCCTACTTAAAACTCAATTTTATGATTCCCATTGTTAACATGGGAAAGGGTTTAATCTATCTGCTCCGGATTTCGAGTGGCAATTGTCCCGCATTTGCACTGTATCGGAGATGGAGCCCTGAAAGACGATTAATTCTGCACGAACGCCTCTCGCACACTTAACTCTCCTGACTAATTAACTTTTGATTGTTCCTGACTGAGTCCCCTTAAGGCCAGGGGGAAATTTCAGCTTTCCGTCGCCCAGTCGATGGACAGCTTAATTAAATTTTAGCCAGGGTATTTCAACTTTTGCGAGATGGTTATTTCGGTATATCTGCCGAATGATAATTTGCTTTGGAGAGCTTTAATTTTATTTTGCCATTTCTGAATTGCAGTTGCAATTTGCAGCTGCATTGCAGTTGACATGTTCGAAAAATGGCCAAGTGAAATGCAGTTACACGACGGCTGCTGCTGTGGAAATAGTTTGATGGCGGTGGGGAATTGGCCCGGTTGAAAGTATATGAACCAAATCAAATGCACATTTTTCAAATTCATTGAATTTGCAGCGCATTTACAACGCAACAGCGTTCACAGCGTTGGCTCTTTCATTTATGTTATTTCATTTCATTTGTTTTTCCATGGTCATACGAATGCGAAATGCATTTTCTTTTTTTTTTTTTTTTTTGGTTTTTTGCTCCGAATGGCAGCGTGACTGCTGATAGAAGGTAAAAACAGGGCGGTGGCGGCGGCAATTGTGCAGCGTTGGCAAATTTAATTGGAAATGAAGTGTGCGCCGGGCAGAGCGAAGAGCCGAGAGTGCAGCCCCATGAAATCCGGAGTTGTGCACAAGATTATTTTGTCAATAATCGAAATAAATTGAATTTATGAAATGAATTTCATTACGAACACGACGACGAGATATGCACAAATTGGTTATACTAATTGGAGCTTAACAATCGGCCAACTGAGTCCTGCTAATCGACTGTCCACATAGTGAGGTTCCCTCCGGAAAATAATGCCTTCAGCTATTTGCCGGAATTTAAACCTCTCCGTCTCATTTTACTCGGCCGACCACTTTTTGGGTTGATTTAGATTTGATTGTGTGTTGAGGTTGTAACGGCGCCTGTAGCGACCAGATAGTTTAGTTCGGCCTAGAAGCATGCTTTAAAATATATCTAAGCTCGGCTTAGTGTCTTAGCTAATTACACATATGTTTGATAAATCAGCTGTAACAGAGATGCAGTGGGAAGCTCGTTTTAGACATCTGGTGTTATCATCTGTGGCGAACTTCCGACCATACCCTAGCCTAACACTACCTATATTTGGTAAGGTTCTTTTCTGATTGACATCCGATATGAGCAGACGTGCCAATTTTTCTCAACGTCAACAAAGTTTTGTTTAAATACTATATATTGAAATCGTGGAAAATAATAAGAGGAATAAGTGCAGCGAGCCTAGCTGAGTAATATTTTTGTGATTAATTTTGGAAAACTATTGAGATGTAAGTGGTGGAAGTAGATTTTTTATCAATTCTAACCCCAGATTTTCTTTAGATATATATGATATATATATTTCTCACGTGGCCATCAATACTGGCATCCGTGGGAGCTCCCCTTCAAGACAGTGGGGGGCATGATTTAATATCGTGCCCCAAATTAAATCGGACAAGAAAAATGAGGAGTTTCAACTGGAATTAAATTCAAGAATGCGGCATTAAAGAAGTGATTTGGAGAGATGTTTAACCCTCTCTACCCACGGCAGCAGCAGCAGCAGATTTAGTATAGCCAAATATGGACACAAAAGGGAATATATAACCTGGAATTGCTTTTAAGCCGCTACTGCGATTTTTTTTTAAAGTGAAATATTATAATTAAAAATTTGAAAGTTTTGAAACGTGCCAAAGTGAAGAAAATTTAATGAATCAAAGATAGCAACATGCCGTAAAAATCAAGTTTAAGTGATATTTTCTAAAGTCTGAATGATTCAGTCTAAAACGTAATATTTAAATTAAATTAAATTTAAAACTTAATTTTTCACGAGTGGAGTTATTTACGCATCGATTTTGTTTTGGAAAATTCGCTCAACTATGACTTAAAAGCGATAAATTAAATATTTATTTTTTTTTTTGTAAATTTAAATATAATTTGAAAATAGCAACTTCTGATAAGAAACAATAGTGAATATTAAATTTAAAAATGTGGTCAAGTGAAGATATCACAGTCGGTTCTCAGTAAAATATGTAGGCCTAAAAGGGTTCCAAGTTAAAAGATTTTTATAGAATAGTTTTGTGTTTTCGAGCCCCAATTTCACCCTTTACAGCCACCTGCCCGGGAGATCGATCTTTCGCCGCTGGAACAACGTATAAGCTGTGAGTTTATTATTCTCATTATTGCATTTATATCTATTCTATTTATATCTTATTGCGAAATACTCTATGAAATAATTTTTAACAATCTACTTGAATGAAACTGTGAATTTAAAGAACCCTGAACCGATAGCCTCACTAAACTAAATTAAATTAAACAAAAAGATATCAAACAGAATGAAGATGATTTAGTGAAATAAAAAAATAAATTAAAGCAATGAAATTTAAATATCTATTGTTATACCAGAGTAATATTTTTTATTGGTGAAGTACGATATCTGAATACCCTATATTTTTCTTATTTCTTATCTTTTTAAATATATACGAACATTATAACTACTTTAATTTATGAGGATAACATCATTTAAATATTTAAGTATCTAAATAGTATTTTTATCGCCTGTATATCATTTATTATATTTATATAAAATTTGTAGTATCTACCTGTTAGCAAATAACAATAATGAATTCTTGTATAACTATTAATTAAATTGTATTTGAAATGAATTTCGAGTAGTTCACGTTTTTTTTAACTCGGCTGATGCTTCCACAATCGTAGGGTATTAGGGGTCACCGGAGTTTAGCTCTGAAGGATGGTGATCATAGGTAGGGTGGGCATTTCGCGACCACGACAACATCTGTGGCATCGCTGATTCTAACTTTTCTCGATCTTTTCTATCTCTTGTTTTTTTTGAATTTTATCTATTTCTCTTCTGATTTTGATATCTCGCATTTATTTTCGTCAGCACACTCAATTCTGGTCTTAAAAATAATAATATGTAGCTAGTGTGCGGATTTGTCTAAGCAAGACCTCCACCCCCAAAGCAGACGAGCGAGAGCCGGACCCTATAGTGTGCACCCGCAAGGACAGATCCTAGAACTCACCACAGAATACCTTCGTTACACGCTACAGTTATAATATCATTATTATTATTATTATTATTATTAAGTAAGGTGGCGCCCAACGTGTGGGGCCTTAGTGAGTACAGTATTACCTCATTAAGACTCACCGATAGATAAATTCAATCTCTTTTCTTTCTTTCATTTATTTCAACTTTAACTTCTGATCAAAATCTCTTATGTTGATTTTTATTTATTATGGATAACAGAGCAAGTGAACATTAGTTTCCGTCTGGCCTTAATTAAAAGTCCGTGTAAGAATTTTCCTTCCTTTTGTATGTGATGATAAGGAAAACTTAGTCTGAGGAAAATACAGAGAGTATCAAATTGCGATTGATCTTCTGGCCCTTGCTGGTTTACCAAATCACTACAATATTCACACTTACTTAAATAAATGCTTTCTTCAAGCTTAGGCGTTTCGGAAAATAGAGGCATTGTTTTACTGAAGTGCCCTATCCACGGTTGACTTTTAGAAAGAATTATTTATAATTTTTTCTTAGAGGAATTAGACTTATGTGAGTTGAGACTGGAACATAAGAACTTTTTTTTTTAAGAATAACTTATCCGTTTCATATTTATTAAAGCCTAATTACTTCCCTTATTGAATTTTCTTGTAGTAAGAAAGGCAAGAAATTCACTTCATCTGTATTCTTTTCTTCTTTCCTGAGAAATGTTAGTAGTAAATAAAATTTTTATCCTACGAGTTGTGGACATCAAGCTAGAGTTAAAGCTTTATCTTTATTATTATAACCACAGTTTATATCGTGAGAGTTACCGATTGTTGTTGAAATCATTTGATATTAATGATACAACATTTTTTTTTTTTATCTTTTTATTTCTTTTTGAGCTGTTGTTGAAATCATTTGGTATTAATGATACAACATTTTGGTTTTAAATTATTTTGGTTTTGAGCTGTTGTTTAAATCGTTGGAAATTAAGGATACAACATTTTGTTTTTTTTGCTTTTGTTATATTTTTATAAATTTTCAAAATGGGATTAGACCGTTCTCCGGGAAAAGCATCGCAAGGAGGTGCAAAGCCAGTCTGTCCGTTATGTAAAGCAGATATTAAGGCAGCAACCGATTTATTTGAAACTGTATGCCATCACGAATTTCACAAGAAATGTATTGAGGCACATTTGAAGAAAAGTGAAAGCTGTCCAGTATGCAGAATTTCTTGCAGGCCAGTAGCCGAGAGTAAAGGTTTACAAACGCGATCCCAATCTAAAAGTCGTGGCACAGAAAGTATTGATGATAGAAATATATCTGAAAACGTCCCTGGTACGTCAGGAGGCGCTCATAGTAGTAGCAGTAGGGATGTAGATCCAGCTAATGTTGCTAATGCAATGACGTTACTCTCAATGGAGCGAAGACTGCTCACAGTGTTGTCAGAGAAAATGACTGAGTTAATACAAACTTCAGTGAGTGACAGTATTCAGAGATTAATCTCCCCTCCATCTAGCTCCAATGCGAATGACAGAGATAGGTCAGCTACTCCACCACCCTTAGACCGACCAATTTCTGGCAATGAACATATCCAAAACACAAATTTTGTCGCGCCTAACTTAGGTTCTCCAAGTTCTCATAGAAGTATCCCTTCTGATCTCTTAAATAGACCCGACAAGGTCGTGCATATCCTGAATGGATGGAAGATAAAATATTCCGGATCAGGTGTATCGATAGACAATTTTATTTACAGAGTCGAAGCGCTGACGCATCAGACACTTGAAGGCAACTTCTCAGTGCTTTGCAGAAATGCTAGCGTCTTATTCGAGGGCAAAGCCAACGAATTTTATTGGCGTTACCATAAATCGGTAACCGAAGTACGTTGGGATAGATTATGTTCTGCCTTGCGATTGCAATTTCGTCAAAAAAGGGACGATATTGATGTAGAAGAGTTAATCAGAAACAGAAAACAAAAGCCCAATGAATCTTTTGATAGTTTTTACGATAGTGTAAACGTATTAGTCGATCAGTTAGAAGTACCATGGTCGCCGAGAAAACTTGTCCGAATTCTCAAAAACAATTTGAGACCCGAAATACGCCATGAATTGTTGAATGTTGACATTTCTTCAGTATCTGAGTTGAGAGAAACTTGTCGTCGACGCGAAGCTTTTCTAGACGATGTCAAACGCTCTCACGGATACAGTAAAAACACACCGTTTAGACGAGAAGTCTCAGAGCTTATTCAAGAGCCAGATTCTCAGAATGGGTCCGAATCCGAAAGTGAATTAGAGGTGGACGCATTTTCCTTGGTATGCTGGAATTGCCGCAAAGAAGGGCACAGATACCAAGATTGCTTATCAGAGAAGCGCGTATTTTGTTACGGTTGCGGAACCGCTAACACCTATAAGCCAAACTGCGTTAAGTGCTCAAAAAACTTAAAGCCCGGCAGTTCGAAGTCGCAGTTCAAACCGAAGACTTTGAATGCCTCTCGTCACCAATCAACTATGACCGATCAGATGTGAATGCACCATTAGTCGCATCACCAACTTCCCCGGACGTATCAAAAAGCAATGTCGGCTCTCTACTGCATTGTAAACTTAAAAAGTTACCTCAGATTTTAACTCCTACTGTGTTTTCTGAACATCTCTTAGAAATCCGTAAGTCTCGCAGCGCCGAAAGAATTAAAAGGTTTTGGCAGAATGTTAAAAGCTGTAGGCTCGGGTTGAAATATATTTGTTCTCTCCCTACGGGATCAAGAGATCCACGACCATTTCTGCCGATTCGCTTATTAGACCGTACTGTTTTTGGTTTGCTGGACTCAGGGGCCTCAATAAGTTGTATTGGAGGAGATCTAGCTAAAGAAGTTATGGCGAATGATACCGAATACAAGCCATTAAACATTAAAGCCAAAACAGCAGATGGACGACCTCAGAAAGTAGTAGGAAGAATGGAAATTGACGTAGAATATGGAGACAAGAGAAAACCTTTAAATATTTACCTAGTACCGTCTTTGAAACATGATCTTTATTTAGGTATAGATTTTTGGAGACTATATGATCTTCTCCCCAAAAACCTTAATATATCAGAGTTAGAAACTACTATCGAAGCTAGCAGCAAGGTCGAAGTTGATCAACACGACTTGTCTGCTGAGGAAAAAGCAAAGCTTGGCAATGTCATCAATTGTTTCCCGTCATTCACGCAGGAAGGACTTGGAAAAACGAATTTAATAACTCATGCAATAGATGTGGGTGGAGCGAAGCCGATTAAACAGCGCCATTTTCCAGTGTCGCCAGCTGTTGAGAAGAGTATGTACGCCGAAATTGACAGGATGTTGCAAATGGGCGTAATTGAAGAATCGGAAAGCGCTTGGTCTTCCCCTATAGTGATGGTTACCAAACCTGGTAAAGTTAGAATTTGTTTAGATTGTCGAAAAGTCAATAGCTTTACAGAGAAAGACGCATATCCGCTTCCTCAAATCAGCGGAATTTTGAGTCGTTTGCCTAAGGCGGAATATATTTCAAGCTTGGACTTGAAAGATGCTTATTGGCAGGTGCCTTTAGAAATTAATTCTCGAGACAAGACTGCGTTTACAGTCCCCGGTAGGCCTCTTTACCAATTTAAGGTAATGCCTTTTGGCCTATGCAATGCCACAAGTACTATGTCTCGCTTAATGGACAAAGTCGTTCCAGCGCATCTAAGAAACGAAGTATTCGTTTATTTAGACGATCTTCTTGTGGTTTCCTCCAACTTTAACAGTCATCTTGACGTTCTCAGAGAGATCGCATTTCACATCAAGCGTGCAGGATTGACAATCAATATTGGCAAAAGTCATTTCTGTATGCAACGGGTGCGTTATCTTGGCCATATTGTTGGCGATGGCGGAATCCGAACAGATCCTGATAAGGTCAAAGCAATTACCGAATTTCCTGTTCCTAAAACTTTACGAGGTTTAAGGAGTTTTATGGGATTATGCGGCTGGTATCGCAAATTTGTACCAAATTTTGCCTCTCTTGCTTCTCCCTTAACCGACTTGATGACAACAAAACGTAAATTCTGTTTGACTCCTGAAGCACTGAAGGCATTCGAAGCGCTGAAGAGTCGTCTTAGTGAAGCTCCGGTATTGAGTAGCCCGGATTTTTCTAAGCCGTTCGCCATCCATTGTGATGCTAGCAAGACTGGTGTCGGTGCCGTCTTGGTACAATTATCTCAAGAGGGAGACGAACGTCCGATAGCTTTTATTTCGAAGAAACTAAATCGTGCGCAGAGAAACTATACCGTAACCGAACAGGAGTGCTTAGCAGCTATAGTAGCCCTGAAGAATTTTAGAGCATACGTGGAAGGACACGAATTTACCATCATCACCGATCACGCATCGCTCAAGTGGCTCATGTCCAATCATGACCTTAGTTCTCGTTTAGCTCGGTGGGCATTATCTCTTCAAAGATTTCGATTTAAGATTGAGCATCGAAAAGGTTCTTTAAACATCGTTCCCGACTCCTTGTCTCGCGTTAACGAAGATGAAGTAGCAGCATTAGATTTTCGTGAAGGGTTGCTGGTTGATTTAAATTCAGAGCACTTTAAATCTGCTGCGTATCAAGATTTGGTAGCAAAAGTTTCGGCAAATAAAGTAAATTTCCCTGACTTAAAAACAGAAGACGGCTATGTTTACAGAAAAGCAGAACATTTGACAGGTGAAAAGGTTCACGATGAATATGCCTGGAAGTTATGGATACCGACAGAATTGATACCTGAAGTCCTCTTCCAAGCACATAACAGTCCTTTGGCCTCCCATGGTGGCATCCATAAGACTATCGAGCGTGTTAGAAGATATTATTTTTGGCCTCGTCTTGTGCCTGACATCAAAGCATATATCAATGCTTGTGAGACATGTAAAACAACCAAATCACCAAATCAAGTTCTCAGACCGACTTTAGGAAAAGCACCAATAACTTTTAGGCTTTTCCAACGAATTTTCATTGATTTTCTTGGTCCTTACCCTCGATCGAGAAGTGGAAACATAGGCATTTTCATTGTCCTCGATCATTTCTCTAAATTTGTATTTTTAAAACCTGTTAGAAAGATAAATGCTGATGTCGTAATAAAGTACCTTGAAGGCGAACTATTTATGACATTTGGTGTTCCAGAAACTGTCGTATCAGACAACGGGTCACAATTCCGTTCTGTAGCATTTCAGAAACTTATGAAGCAGTACAAAATTTCACACACGCTAACAGCTGTTCACTCGCCTCAGGCCAACGCTTCTGAGCGCGTAAATCGTTCTGTCATCTCAGCTATTAGAGCGTACTTGCGTCCTGATCAAAAAGACTGGGATGAGTATTTGAACAAGATATGTTGTGCCTTACGATCTTCGTTTCATTCTAGTATTGGTACCACACCATACTATATGGCTTTTGGTCAGCATATGGTTACTTCAGGATCAACTTATGCTTTGTTAAGAAAATTGAATATGCTAGACGACCGCTCGCTATTGTTTAATAGACAGGATTCTTTCCAGATAATTCGCGAAGAAGCTAGTAAGCAAATGCAGAAAGCTCACGATCGTAACGAAAAGAGATACAACTTACGTTCAAGAGAAGTATCTTTTGTGGTAGGACAGGAGGTATTTCGACGTAACTTCAAGCAGAGTTGCTTTCAAACAGGTTACAACGCCAAATTTGGACCTTCCTTCGTAAAAGCACGCATTAAAAGAAAGATAGGTAATAATTACTACGAGCTTGAAGATTTGCAAGGGCGACTGTTGGGTAATTATCACGCCAAAGACATTCGCCAATGACGTCACTCCAGGCGGTATCAGCCTAGGGTATCTAGAATGAAATACCCTAGTCTGATTGCGGCAGGGGGGTTTTGTAACGGCGCCTGTAGCGACCAGATAGTTTAGTTCGGCCTAGAAGCATGCTTTAAAATATATCTAAGCTCGGCTTAGTGTCTTAGCTAATTACACATATGTTTGATAAATCAGCTGTAACAGAGATGCAGTGGGAAGCTCGTTTTAGACATCTGGTGTTATCATCTGTGGCGAACTTCCGACCATACCCTAGCCTAACACTACCTATATTTGGTAAGGTTCTTTTCTGATTGACATCCGATATGAGCAGACGTGCCAATTTTTCTCAACGTCAACAAAGTTTTGTTTAAATACTATATATTGAAATCGTGGAAAATAATAAGAGGAATAAGTGCAGCGAGCCTAGCTGAGTAATATTTTTGTGATTAATTTTGGAAAACTATTGAGATGTAAGTGGTGGAAGTAGATTTTTTATCAATTCTAACCCCAGATTTTCTTTAGATATATATGATATATATATTTCTCACGTGGCCATCAATACTGGCATCCGTGGGAGCTCCCCTTCAAGACAGTGGGGGGCATGATTTAATATCGTGCCCCAAATTAAATCGGACAAGAAAAATGAGGAGTTTCAACTGGAATTAAATTCAAGAATGCGGCATTAAAGAAGTGATTTGGAGAGATGTTTAACCCTCTCTACCCACGGCAGCAGCAGCAGCAGATTTAGTATAGCCAAATATGGACACAAAAGGGAATATATAACCTGGAATTGCTTTTAAGCCGCTACTGCGATTTTTTTTAAAGTGAAATATTATAATTAAAAATTTGAAAGTTTTGAAACGTGCCAAAGTGAAGAAAATTTAATGAATCAAAGATAGCAACATGCCGTAAAAATCAAGTTTAAGTGATATTTTCTAAAGTCTGAATGATTCAGTCTAAAACGTAATATTTAAATTAAATTAAATTTAAAACTTAATTTTTCACGAGTGGAGTTATTTACGCATCGATTTTGTTTTGGAAAATTCGCTCAACTATGACTTAAAAGCGATAAATTAAATATTTATTTTTTTTTTGTAAATTTAAATATAATTTGAAAATAGCAACTTCTGATAAGAAACAATAGTGAATATTAAATTTAAAAATGTGGTCAAGTGAAGATATCACAGTCGGTTCTCAGTAAAATATGTAGGCCTAAAAGGGTTCCAAGTTAAAAGATTTTTATAGAATAGTTTTGTGTTTTCGAGCCCCAATTTCACCCTTTACAGCCACCTGCCCGGGAGATCGATCTTTCGCCGCTGGAACAACGTATAAGCTGTGAGTTTATTATTCTCATTATTGCATTTATATCTATTCTATTTATATCTTATTGCGAAATACTCTATGAAATAATTTTTAACAATCTACTTGAATGAAACTGTGAATTTAAAGAACCCTGAACCGATAGCCTCACTAAACTAAATTAAATTAAACAAAAAGATATCAAACAGAATGAAGATGATTTAGTGAAATAAAAAAATAAATTAAAGCAATGAAATTTAAATATCTATTGTTATACCAGAGTAATATTTTTTATTGGTGAAGTACGATATCTGAATACCCTATATTTTTCTTATTTCTTATCTTTTTAAATATATACGAACATTATAACTACTTTAATTTATGAGGATAACATCATTTAAATATTTAAGTATCTAAATAGTATTTTTATCGCCTGTATATCATTTATTATATTTATATAAAATTTGTAGTATCTACCTGTTAGCAAATAACAATAATGAATTCTTGTATAACTATTAATTAAATTGTATTTGAAATGAATTTCGAGTAGTTCACGTTTTTTTTAACTCGGCTGATGCTTCCACAATCGTAGGGTATTAGGGGTCACCGGAGTTTAGCTCTGAAGGATGGTGATCATAGGTAGGGTGGGCATTTCGCGACCACGACAACATCTGTGGCATCGCTGATTCTAACTTTTCTCGATCTTTTCTATCTCTTGTTTTTTTTGAATTTTATCTATTTCTCTTCTGATTTTGATATCTCGCATTTATTTTCGTCAGCACACTCAATTCTGGTCTTAACAATAATAATATGTAGCTAGTGTGCGGATTTGTCTAAGCAAGACCTCCACCCCCAAAGCAGACGAGCGAGAGCCGGACCCTATAGTGTGCACCCGCAAGGACAGATCCTAGAACTCACCACAGAATACCTTCGTTACACGCTACAAGGTCATTAGGAGGGGAGGGGAGCGGCATCTGATCACCATTTGAAACGGACTCCTGCATTATTCACTTAAAATATGCAAATATTTTCCTTTGGCCAAGTCAACTTGGGTGCTTTTTTTCGCGTTCATTCTCTTTCTATTCCCGCGGAACGGCGTTTTCTTTTGCCATCTGGCAACGGGGGAGAAACCAGAGGCCCTTCATAAATTTCATTATTCTTTTTGTAATTTTTGATGGCCATTAAATGCAAATTATAAAAGCCAAAATACACAAAAACCGGCAAAGTCTAATGGACAGGGGCGTGGCCGGTCGACATATTTTTTGTTGGCCATCCATTTAAGCATTAGCGCTCAATTTAGCTTTTAATGCCGTTTCCGTTGCCTTAAATAAAAATTCAATTACTCAGACACACACACACACACATATACACACACGCATGCACATTAACAGAAAGCGAGAGAGCCATAAACACACAAACAGTCACGAGCTGTGCCGTAAATGCGTTTAAAATTGAAATAATTTTATTACCCATACGCGCCGTGGTCGCACATAAATGCACACATTGATGCGGGGACAACCACGAACGCACATAAATGTTTATATATATACACTCGGGAAAAATTAAGCTGAACGTTTAGGAATTCGTTAAGAAACTTAATTTTTTTTTTTAATTTTTAGTTTTAATATATTAACAAGACAGAGGAAATGAAAGTTTAGAAAGAATGTTTTGTCTTGTTTTTTTTTTTTAAATTATTTTTGTTTATGCTATTTTTCTTATATATATTTTTTTTCTTAAATATGTTGTATTTTTCCGTAATGTTCCTAAATTTTTCCCAAGTGCAATTCCCTTATTTGCGAACCTGTGGACTCACCTGCATGGAGCGTCGACTGGAGCCGCTGTTGGACCGCGACAGCATCGGCGGTCGCCGCTTGGTGGCGCCGCGTCCGGCGAGCAGGTTGTTCAGCAGCGAGGGGGAGCGGGCGCAGATGAAGGCGTGGAAGGAGGAGACCGTAAACACGCCCAGCTTGTTCAGCGTGTTCTTCGTGGGACGCGACACGTGAGTCAGCAGCGACTGTTGAATAGACGAACGAATGCGAAAACGTTTCAAATTAAATGTGAGCACAAGTTATTTTTCGGTTCCCACAGTCCCCTGACTAATTTTTGTTGTATGTACGATTCTTTCAGAGAGCATTAAAAGGCGAAAAGAAGAGCAGTACGGAAAGAAGAGGAGCCTCCCACTCTTCTGCTCGCACACCCATGCAAATAAGCCTTTGGCATCCTGCAGTCGACTGAAGTTGTTCTCTTCACAGGTGCTGAAGTTGTTTGCATTTTGTGGTTATTAATAATAAATAATGTTGCTTTTCAGGCACACAACTGCACTTACCATGGAGGGACGCACCTACCACCCCTCCCTCCCTCCCTTTTTCACGCCCCCTTTTATACCCTCCCGCCCCTTTTAGCCTGCCATTAAAAGCGCAATCAACTTTCAACCCTTTCAGTCAGTCAGTCGGCGCTCGCAAATCCTTCTAAGGTTGCCAACAGTTGGCGTGGGTCGAAGGTTGTCTTTAAGCCCATTTAAGATGCTTAAACTTTTGTTATGGAGATTAATTGTGCATGTTTGGGTTTTGATTTGCGAACACACAGAGGGAAAGTAGCTCCGCCTTGGCCATTGTGCAAATAGGTAGAGGTAATTATAGACAACTCGAACCGAAGCAAAGGCTTCTAAACGGAATTGTAAACGGGTTTTTCGGGTGGGTTATTGTTGTTACGGGGATTTGGGCCAATGCCATTGTGCCGGTCTTCTTAAGCTCTCGACCAGGCTGTGAATCTGCTTTTGATGTTTCCCTGAAGCGTGGCAAACTTAAGCCCAGTTGTGGCTTTATCAAGCCGTTGTTCTGGCATTGAACAGCGATTAGGCAGCAGTTCATCAAGGTGATTCCGCACTGGATTTGCTTATTATTTTCCAATTCTTCTAAGCCCTTACGAAACTAACATGAAGGCTGGCTTATAATAAATCAGGAGCCTGAATACCATTTAATTGGTTTTCACATGCTACCAATGTTGTTTATTCAACGAGTTTTTGGGCAACAATTTTGTTGGCCGAATTATACGGGCATTAAGAGCTTTTATAGTCATTTTATTTTGAGTAATTAAAGCTTTGCCACCGAAAGCGAGTAGCTCTAAATAAACAATTGGAAACTAAATAAACTGTTTGATTATATTGGATGCATTAAAGGCAAATATTTAACTGTTTAAATATAATAATAAAGAGAGCAACTAAATTAGGTATGTTGTAGCTTAAAAAATATTCAAACATAATTTGTGAAAAATTAATGTAAATTTCCAATGTTAATAAAAGATGTTGCACGATTATAATTCTATTTTTTAAAGTGCTTCTATTCCACTCAAAAAAAGTATGATCTAAAGGAATATATTTGGTATTTAGTTAGGTGGAAATACAAACTGATTGCCTATAACCCTTTTGCTATTTGCAAAAATTCTTTTATTTGGAAATTAAAGAAGTGTGTAAGCTTCTAAAAGCGGTCTCTTCAATTGCCCCGAAATGTAGGCAACGCTTTTTGACCCGAGCAACTGCTCTCGTTTGTGGATGAATTATAAAGCCGCCAGAAGGCAGTGCAGTCGCCATTAATTGCATTTGACTTATCTGCCTGACAGCTCGAATTTGGGGGCACTGTTCGGTGGGTCACGGGTCGTTCTGTTGGCCATAACTCACCTTCGGATTGGGCAGCTCGCCACTCTGCAGCGAGGCCATGTAGCAGCGCAGCCGGAACTGCTCGCAGTGGAGCCGCTCCAGGTTCTCCTCCCACTGCAGTATCTGCGTCTGGATCTGATGACGCGTCTCCTGATCGGTGACAACCGATTGCTGCAACTCGGCCATGTGCTTCAGCTTGTGATCCTGCATAAGGAGAGAGAGAAATGGAAACAGGGTTACGGCAATGGCAAAAGCATATGCTATATATGGTATGGTAGTAAGGATGTATGCAACACTCGTTGCCGGGTTATGAAAGCAGCCGAGACATGGCATCATTAGCATTTCATGGCAGCTTTGTCCCACTGCTGCTGCTGCTGCTGCTGCTTCTGCTGCTGCGGTGGCTGCCATTTGACGAAAATACATAAATCACGCGTCATGTGCAGCTCAAATTTGCCACCATTTCCCCCTCCCGCCGTTTGTCACCCTAGTTTTAGCCCCACTGCAATTCAAATATCTCTCGCCTGCTCTGGCCTCATGTCCCTGATACTGAAGTGCGTTGGCAATGCACCAAAAAAAAAAAAAAAAAAAAATCGTAAATGGGGGAGGGGAGAGGGGGAATGGAAACCCTTTCGAGCAAACGGGAGCTGCATATACATGGCCCTGTTTTCATTACAAATACCGTTTGACTTCCGCCGCAGCTGCCGTCGCCTTCCCCCATTTTTTCGGTTCTATGTTGGAGTTCTCGGGGTTCTGGGGGAGTTAGTACCAGAATCAAAATCAGAACCAGAATTCAGCATTTGAAATCCCACTTTGGATCCCACTTGCACGTGCATTTATAGCACGCTTGCATAGATCTCGTGGAGCACGTGATTGTTTCATTTTGGTTGCAGCTACAATTCGGATTCCCCAACCCGCCATTCGTTGTTGTTGTTGTTCTTGTTGTTTTCGTTGTTGTTGTTGTTGCATTTTGACTGCTGTACTGTGCTGCATTGAATGCGAGTCAGTAAGCTGACAATTATTTGCAGATGCAGTTGCAGGTTGCAGGTTGCAGGTTGTAGCTTGCAGGTTGTTGCTTTTGCTGTTGCTGTTGCAACTATGTGTGCTTGGTTTTGTGTGTATGTGTGCCGTGGGCGTGGCAACAACCTGAATAGGCACTTTCGATGTTCGACATTTTAATGAATGTGTACACATAAACAGGCAGCAGCAGCGGCAAAAGGACCAAAAGGACCAAATGGGCGGCGCACTTCTACCTGGGATTACGTGTATTTGAACTGGGCGCAGTTGAGCCGCTTCACTGTTTGTTTTACGTGGAAATAAATCAAAGTTTTGTGCATTTTATTTGCATACGAGTATGCTACTCCTACGTATGCTCGATATTTCTGACAATGTGTGTGTGTGTGCGGTGTGCGGTGGCAATCGATATGTGGCAAGCTCACCTAATTCAATTCCACTAAAGACGCCAATAATTCCTAGTTGAGGTCTCAGCCAACTTGGTCGTGGTCTCCTCTCGCTAGGCATAAAGTTGGTTAATTAATAAACCAAAATCCCATTATGCACTGCGACCACACACACACACATATACAGGATATTTTGGGGTGGAGAGACATATCCTCCGAAGGAGTTCTCCTCTTGGTTACTGTCAATGGCACTTGGCACTTGAGGAAAGCAGCTTATTTGACAAACACAAACCGGAAGGAGTTTGCGGGGCCAGTGGGTGGATTCTCCACCCAAAGAGACACTTTCCCGGGCACCGAGTGAGTTTTGTGATTATTTACAACACAAAACTGAGTTGTGTGGGGGAAGGGAAGGGGGTGGGGAAGAGGATTTCCCGAGGCGGAGAGGCAACAGTTTGTCCTTGTCAAAGTAATATGGCTTCTTCCTGGGCCATAAATAGCCAGAATCGCCTCCTTTTGGCCTCGTCTCGCCTGCTTGACCATTAATCGTTTCGGCCATTGTGTCCATTGTGCTACTACAGCTGCACTCCATCTCCATCTCCATCTCGCCTGGTCTTCCACCCATTTTGGAGCCGGCACTCCAAGGGTTAATGGCAATGTTAATGGACTTGTAATTGCCATGCAATTGGGAGTGTAAATCACGCAAACGATAACCCCCCGTCGGCGATCCTTGAACTGCGAATCGCTCCAGGGTGTTTGAACTCCATTGGGTGTCCATTTCGAGAGAGAGAGAGAGAAGTGAAATGTTTGCTGCACATGCAACCGAAATATTTGACAAACAAGCAACGCTATCTGTTCGGTTCGCTCCAGGAAACTGCAACTTTAAAAGCCATTGCATAAATGAATAACTAACGAATCTATTTTTTGCACGCTTTCGAGCAGGGGTTGGCAAATAGAATTTGATTTTCTGCTTCTTTTAATAGAGTTACATATTGATTGATATCTTGAAAAGCTTGATTGCGAAATGCACACGGATGAAATGTAACGAGGGATTTAAAACACCGATTTTAATTCAGAACTAAAAAGAATTAGAATAGTAATAGGTTACTTTTAGTTATGTTCTCCAAGCATTTTACCTTCTTTGTAAAAATGTTTAAAACTAAAGAAAGTATTTAAGAAGTCGCCTTTTATTTTGGTCTTGGTTTAAAGCCCTTTGGCATTGCAGTGGTCTGTGGTCTTAGCTTAAAGTCAATCTCCTTCTGGTTTGCGTTCCTTCCGCTCGGGAAACTCTCCTTTCTGATTGCCTCCGCCCCGAATTAGTGAATGGTCGTCCACCCGAAATCCATTTCACTCCTCCTGCGGGAGGATATTAACAGCACTCCCAGGACACGGAACTGCACAAGTGCAGCAGGCACTCCGAAGCTCCGAAGCTCCGGAGCCCCAGAGCTTGGGAGACTCGGAGGCTCTGGTCACGGTCGCGCTGCGGTTGCCGCTTGTTTTGACACATGTCACGCGTTAAGTGACAGCCCCAGCCACAATTCGAGCGGCTCCTTTCCCGCTTTCCCCACTCTTCCGCCTTCCCACTCTCCAGTTTTCCCGGAATACGGATCCAGCATTGGCTGTAGCTCCTCTGGCCTCCGCTCGGTGCTTTCATCTCGATTCTCGTGAATTTTATTATTGCTGCATAGTTGGATTCCCAGTCATCTATTTTTCCTCCTCCACTCCGCTCCCATCCCCTTCTATTTTCCCTGGCCATATCTTTCGCTCCTTGACGATGAGTTTTTGCGGTTCGCCTATTTAGTTGTCCTGCCTCGTCCCTGTTTGTGAGTATCTGTCCCCAGATCCTTCCTCCTCCACCTCGATGCCATCCTGTCCCGCTCAGTTGTCGTGCGGTCGTGTTCCTGTGGTCCTCCCGTTGTCTGTTGCGCTTTCATTAAGCGCCACTTGAGGCTGCCTCTGCCCCGTGACGAAGCCCCCGTCCCCAAGCTCACATTTGCGGGGAGCTGCACAGGGAGAAAAAAAGTCCTCCTGCTCTGACGGCTTGGAAATATCTAGGGGGGTCTGCCAAAAAATGCACATGACATTTATCTGACTCACATGATTGATGTGATGTTTGTTCTATTTTGCTCATTGCTCATGGGACGTAATTATTTTTACCAAAACTTTTTCACAGCGAACAGCCGAAAATATTCATTTAGAATGAATCCAGAGGATTTTTACAATGTAATGCATATGACATGTATCTCATTGTCATTATTAAAATATTGAAGTATTTTCGTTGTTATTCTCATTTTGATTACTCGGGGGAAATAATTAGAAAAATGCGATTTAATTTTGATTTTTTGTATAATATGATTTGGAAATAATTAGAGAAATATCAAATACAAAAGAGAATATTGAATAAAAAAATGATTTTGTTTTCAACAAGAATGTAATTGTTGTCCCATATTTATAGATACGGTTTACAACTGTCCAGGGAATCTTGTGTCTGGAATCTGGAATTTTACAACCTTCTGGTTTTTTGTTTTCTAATCTGAGCACCTAACTTTTCCCCTCAGTGTAGCATCAGATTCTGAAGCTGGTCGGGAGCTGCCATTGCCATCGCTAGATGTACTTGTTATTATTATTGCTGGTCTTCTTGTTGTTGTTGCTGTTGTTGTTGTTGTTGTTGTTGCTGGCCTGCCATTTCCGCTTGAGAGTCGAGAGTTTGGAGAGTTCATGGTTCTTGTTTTGTTTTTGTTTTTGTTATTGTTGTTATTGCTATGCTGCTGCTATGTTTTGGTTGATATATGTTTTTACTCGGGAGTACAATTAAAAAATACATTTTACCATTGTTGTGTCCCCGTTGTCAGCGCTCAACGTTGAACGTTCTAACGTTGAATGTTCTAACGTTCTAGAGTTACTCGCATGACAGGCCAAAGATGCTTGAAATGGCAAAAGCAGCAACCAGCAACCAGCAACTGGCACTACAATAACAACAACAATAACTAAAACTCTGCGGCGAGTGGGTCTAAAACAATGACTGAAATAATAATCATGCGCCGGCAGTCAGGCAAAGGACTCGTGACTCGGTATCAGTTTATTTTGTTTGCCACTGCTAATGGCCTCAGTTTCAGAAACTGTCTCTCTGTCCATTCAACTCCTACTCCAATTCCTGCTTCAACTGCTGCTTCAACTCCTATTATAACTCCTGTTCCAACTCCTATTCCTCCTCCAGTGATAACAATCAATGTGGTTCAGAGAGAGAGTCTGGCTGCCTCCAAAGGGATATTGAGTTGTCCAACGGACGTGGCCTGTCTCCTTTGAGCCACCTGCTCAGATGACTTTTGACATGGCTTGTGCATTAAATGGCTGCTCCATTGCAGTCAAAAGTCAAAAGAGGAGGCCACCGCTCCACTGGCAACTACACTACACACTAGTAAACCGCAAAAAGGGAAGGGCGTTGCGTTGCGTTGCGTTTTGGGGCCAGGCCATGTCAACAAAAGGCCTGCAAAATTGTATATATGGTCTGCATAAATGCTGACCACAAAATGATGCCACATTATATAACGTGTGAGTGCTGCAGATGAGCGGTGGGTGGTGGATGGGTGGTGGGTGTGTTGAACAGGCAGCAGGCAGAAAGATGCTAAGCCTGAAAACCCCCTCCTAAAACTCAAACCTCTAAACTGGCGCCTAGCTCTGTGGCCACAGGATGATCAGGAGGGTGTTGGCTGGCTTTATACTGGATATACTGGGATACTGGGATGCTGGATGATGGGTGTTCACTGTTCAGTGTTCACTGTTCAGTGTTTAGTGTTCGGTGTTCAGTGTTCGCTGCTCGGTGTTGGATGCTGTTGACAATTGAATTGAATTTTCCGCCCCTGACCACAGCCACGCCCACTGTGTCAGCGCCTACATAAAGCATATTTTCGCATCTGCATGCAGCAGGCTCGTTCATCCTACCTCTACCTCTCCACCTCACTATCCCTCTCTCTTTCTCTCCCATTTTTGGCCTAGGCCAACCCACACACACACACATAAAAACAAATCAAAAACCAAAGCAAACCAAACGCATTCTGCGCGAAAGGGAGAGGTGGAATCCAGGGATCGGGGGATCGGGGATCGGGAGTCGTGGGATTAAGGGCCCGGTTCCTGCTGCCCTAATGTCCTGATGTCCTGATGTCGTCCTGGCCCGGTGGCAACCATATGCCAGACCCATTTCCTGTGCAACTTTGGACCAAAAGTTGCAAAAATATTCGCACGTTTGGCCAAAAACAAAGCTGGACTTTCGGCTACGCCATATGCGAGTATGTGTGTGTGTGATGGTGTGTGTGTGTGTGTGTATATAGTATGCCTTTCATGCCGGACTTTCGAGTTCAACTCGTTTCTCATATTTCTTGCCATAAATTTTTACCATTTTGGCATTAGTTTATGAAATGCCACGCCCACAAAAACACCCACGACCACCGCCATATACATACGTATATAATGTGTGTGCGTTTGGGTGTATGTGTTAGTGTGCCAGGTCAAACTAAAGTTTTTTCCTTTCCCATCATGAAGAAACCTCAGGACAAAAACGAACCGAACAAGTAAATTTTATGGTAATTATAAACTTTATGGTTTCATTAAAAAATATTGAAGAGAGAACAGAGGGGCAGAAGAAAAAAAAAACCCAAAAAATACGAAACGAAAAATTCACAATGCGGGCTGGCGAAAAAGGGGACCACATTGTTTTTCCCCCCACTCCCCCCAAAAATTGCCCATCGGAGTTTCTTCACATTTTGTGCGGCTTTAAGTTGGTCTAATTGAGTAAAGTTTCTCGGTGCAAGTTTAAATTAACTAAATATGCATTTCATTATAATTTTGGTTTACAAATTTTCGGTTTATGGACATTCGAGGCGTTGCTAGCCAAACAGAAAGCCAAGTGAGGATATAAATGTGTGTGCGTGCGGTTGAGTTTCACATTAATTATTATAAAATTAATTGCACACTTTAGGGCTTTCTTTCCCTCCGCCGCCCAGAATGTATATATATATACTTATCTGTTTGGCTGCTTGGGCAACTGGCGGAGTAATTTTCCTAAGGGAATTTAAATCTTCATCGTTGGTGGAGCATCGGAAATGATTGCCTACTTTCCGGCTCAGCAGTCAAGAAAAACAATTTTCATTTACTAAATGTTTTCATAAAGCGCAATTAAAATATTTTACTGCCACGCCGAATGCACAGAAATTGCATTAAGCTTGCCGCTCGACGACTGTTGCGTCATTTAATTAGTGCAATTATTTAAAATCGATGGCAGCCGCAACAATATCATTTGGCCGCAATAAAAACTGCGGTCGAGGTGTTTAAAAACCGAACCACTGAATGAAAAGTGAGTTTAAAGATAAAAGACTCTTTCGGAGCAGTAGGGATAAATATAATTTTTACTGCAAATGAAATATATACAAAAATATAAATACTTTCAGGGTTTTATTTTTAAGTGAGCATTAAAATATTTATACCAGTGAAATAATATTGTTAATGCCAATGAAAATGTTGTTTTAATTCCTTTGGAGGGTTCTCTTATAAATTTTTAAATTTGAAAAACTTTTTAATACTTGTAAATTCTTCTCTGCAACGTGCCACAAATGAAATCTTTTGAATTACTTTATGTTCTCTATGGGTAAATACAACTATTTTTTGTCAAAGCATTTAAAATGCGATATTTTTATTGAGCTGCTGAACATGCGTTCGTTAGCAGAATTCTTTTTGTGCCATGAAATGTGTAAAAAGAAATTGTTAAAGCAAACAACAATTTAAAGCCAATGCTTTGGCCGGCTAAAAGTGTAGGCGAAATCGGGTGGGGGCGTGGCGTGTGTCAAGGGGCGAGGGGTGTGGGGGCGGCAGCGAAAAGGGGGCGTGGGCCGGGAGTGAGCTGCTATTGAGCTGAAATGACAGCAGCCATTGCAAATTGAAAGCATCCAAGGGGAGGATAAAGCAGCGAAAAAAAAATAGAAAACAGGAGCAGGGAGCAGCAAGTGAGCCTTGTTTAGACAGCGCCGCCATGGCAATTGCACACCAGGTGTGCGAGGGGTGTGTGTGTGAGTGGGTGGGGGGTGGTAAGTGGGTGGTGGTGTTGGTGTACCTGGTGTCGTAGGAGTCGTAATTAGAGCGTAAAAACCAGAGCGTACGAAAAACCAAACGCGCTCGGGCAGCTACTACTATTTTTTACGTTCCTGCATTGTAAATCTGCGTGTGTGTGTGTAGGCTTATGTATGTGTGAGTGTGAGTGCTTTATGCGAAAAGAAAAATAGATAGCTAGAAAAAGAAGAAGCAGCTGGAGGAGAAGTCTGCCCACACACACACACTCGCACATACATATATGCATCCATATAAGGCGAGAAAAAAAGCGGAGGAACTAGAAAAGCTAAAGCAAACGAAGCGAAGTGCTGCCGAAACCGCCTCCGCTCCACCACCCCCTCTCCGCCCCCCGCTGACACATATATGATTATTTCCGAAAGGTGACAGCTATAAAAAACAACAACAACAACAACTAGAAGCTGGCAACGTAGGCGTCGCACAAAAGTAGAAGGCAAGACAACAACAACAACAACAACAAAAAAAGTGGCAAAAGAAAAAAAGAGGGACAACACTGTTGCTCTTTTCACAGAAAGTGGGTGGCGGTGACCCGCCCACACACGCAAACACTCACACACACACACACACACACATACGCTCACAAAAGGAGCAACTAGAATGATGCGTTGGTGTGACACCTTTTTTTTTTCTCTCTGCTGACTTACTGCCACCGTATCGTCTTTCTTTTAATTTCATTCAGACTTCGCAAGCCTTTTGGTATTTTTCTAGAGAATTAATTAACAACAAATGCAGTAATGCAGAAATGCTGAGCACTAAGTACTAAATACTAAATGCAAACTGCATTTATGGCCACTCCTTGAGCTCATTTAATTAATATTCATCCCAGAAGTTTGTTTTCGGCCAAACTGAAGTCCACTTGGCGGCCATGGCTGGGAAATGAGGAAAAGCGGAAGCAATAGTACCCAGAGCACTCTTACGGCAATCTCGGACTTCCGCCCAATGGTTTTTGTTTTCCTTCCCAGGTTTGCTTTTTGCTTTTTGTTTTTTTTTTTTTTCGGCCAGCGAAGTAAACACAAACAGGCCGAGCGATAGGGAAAAACGGAGCAAAAACGCAGCAGTTCAAGGAAGTAATTATGGTTTATCCAAAGGGACAGATAGTGGAAGATGGCTGAAGGATGGGGGGGAGGGGGGTGGTAGTCAAGCCCTCTCACTCTGGTCATAACATCAAACTACAACTTTGTGGAGCAAATGAGAAAAAAAAAAACTAAATTAAAAAAGGGCGCCAAGAAGAAATCGAGGAGAACGGGGAAAAATCGCTGAAACTGGGGCACACAGAAAGAACTAAGTTAACATTATAGATAAGATATATGTATATACCAATTAGAAAGTATAATATAATTTTTGGTTTCACTTTTATCAGTTGTACTATTCATTTCCAACTACTTAACAAAATAATGTACTCATATGAAGAACAAGCTACTTTTGTAATTAAGTTGGTATTACTTTTCATAGAGTTCAAAGTATATAATACTTATTGCGCTTTGAGCATTTTAGAAATCAATAAAGATCTTTTATTTTTTTAACTTTAAACTGTTTAAGTATTCTTCAAAGTTTCTTGCTGGCTATTAATTGTTGTTCTAAGCAAACTTCAACGAGTCACTTCTTATAATAATTTCAAAACTTTCCTTTTGCAGAATTTCCCATAACCGGAAGTTGTAATTTTCCGGCAAACACTGTAGCATCTGAGGCAGCCAAAGTGGAGTGGAGGAGAAAAAAAAGAAAAGCGCCAGCGATGCCGGCGACAGAGACGAATGAATCAAGTTGTTGAGGATAGGACAGACAACATAATTGTCTTTTGGAGTCCTTCTAACTAACTAACAAACAACAAGAAAAACAACGCTGAACGCAGCGGGAAAACAGCGGGTGGAAAAGGGGTGGGAAAAGGCAACTGAAAATGACATGATGAAAAATAAATAAACAAATAAAGTTTACTTTCTTTGGCGGGGCCTGGATGGGTTTCATATCTGCTACGATTTCCAGTTGCCTGGTTTATCCAGAGCATTTATCGTGGGCCAAGTGCAATTTCTTGTAGTTTCAGCTCGAGTTCAATTCTGTTTGCTTTTGCGATTCACTCTTCTTCTGTTTTCATTTTTTTTCTATTTTTTTTTTCATTTTACCATCTTCTTGCTTTGCCTTTGTCTTGCGATTTGCGCCGCGAAAAAATGTTCCCTCACTTTGATTTGCTTTTTCCGCACCAACCACCCGCAGCTCCATTTTCCTTTTACTCTTCTATTTTTTTTTTTTTTTTGCAAAAGTTTTCGCTGGAGAGGAAAATAAATTGCAGTGCAAGGAATTTTACGCTGTTTGCCGCGAAATTGATGGGGAATTGATTTGAAAGCAAATACATAAATAGTTGCAAGTAGAAGCAGTTTCCTTCCCCTTCCGCCTTTTCTATTCTTCGACAATGGTATAAATCTTTGGGGAATCGCCTGAGACTGAGACTGAGAATGAGACTGAGAAATTGGTTGGTGGAATGCGGAAAATGCGGACGGAAAATGCGATTGTTGTGTTCCGTCGCCTGTTTCGCTGTTGACTTCCAAGTTGACAGCACGATATTGAGAAATTGTTGTCCTGCCGAGGATATATCTGTGGGAATTTGTTTTTCTACTCGATTACATTGGGCAATGAGTCAGGTAGTGGAGTTCCGAAAGACTTATGGAGCTGTCTAAACTAAAATTGCCAAGTTATTTCCTTTTTTTGTTAATTATCTACCTAACTTTGGATCTACACAGTTGTAATTACCTAGCCCAAATTAGCAAAACAATGCAGCTTTGCAACTTAAAATCTCTTAAGTTGATAATCGTGATTAAATGAATTGCATCTGAGTTTATGTGGGTCAAATCACAAGCATTCCTTGGCCGGGCTCATCAAAATTCAAAACATTTCCCCAACATAACGACTTGTTTGCCGTGCTCTTGCAAAATTCAAATGCAAAACACATAGCTGCACTGATGTGTAGTTAATCCCCATTCGATGGGTTTCCTAATTTAATTCGCCTTTCAGCCTTTCAGCTGCTATTCAATTCCGTGCCAGCATTCACAGTACAGTGCGATTCATAAAGGCTCAAATCGCATTCGCTATTCGCTATTTGCACAAATGGCATGATCGATGATGCATTCGTAAGCGATACCAATTGATGGGATATTTGTTGCATATTCTATTCATGCGGAGTTCTGGGTGGGTGGGTGGCAGTGGCCTTAAACCGCCTTACGGCGACGAAACGCAGCTTTATCCCTTTGACATGGCCGTGTGCGCCATTCATTTTGCATTGCCAGCCACTTGGCGAAATTGACTTAACTCTCGAGCGGAGGAGCAGCAGCAGCAACAATTTCCTGAGCCAACAAAGCCGCAGAGTCTGCAATGAAATGCGAAATGCAACCGCACTCGAAGCTCGTGTTCTCCCCTTGAATATCCCGGGATATTCTGGCATATTCTGGCATATCCTGGCACGAGCATTCTCCAGGTGCTCCCCCTTTGGAAACCCCCATCCTGGAAAAACCGCAACGAATACTTTTGCACGCTTTCGCAGGCCCACAAGTTGAATGCGTTGTAGTGAAATGTATTTGGGTTTTGCGTTTTTGCGGCCCACACCGCATATTCCGCACTTAAGGCCGCACACATACTCGTATTTATATATTTATTTACTCACCGACTCAATGGCCTTCTCCAGGCGGAAGATCTCCTCCTGGAGCAGATGCAGGGTCCCGGTTTTTCCGCGGTGACGGGCAAAGGCGGCGGCACAGGCGCTATGGATGCTGTTCACCCAGTTCTCCAGCTCCACCTGCGAAGACAGAGGGAAACATTGTAACAAATTGCAGACCAAATGCACCGCAAGCAATTTGACGTGGCTCCCCAGCGCCAAACGTCGAACTTGTCCCCTTTTATCCGCCCCCTTTTACCCCGCCCCTCCCTCTTTTCCCTTCTCCTACCAGTTGAAATAACCTCCAACATCGAGGAACGAAAGCCATTTCATCCCCGCTCATCGCTGGCTATCAGTTATGCAAATTTAATGACAAATCACGTTGGGCCACGGCGAGAGTTGGCAACACGACAGGAGGCGAAAAAAGGACGAAAAAGGAGGAGGTGAGGAGGTTTTCAGGGGGGTGGTGGGTGGAACGTATGCCTTTGAGACATGTAACAGTTTAGGGATGCTGCCACAAGGATGCTGCTGCTGCTGCTGCCACTGCAGCTGTTCAAGGCAATCTGCCAGTTGGCAGTCAGTCAACGCCACCTCAATCATGGCTCACACTTTAAGCCCCCGGCTCCCCCCAGATTTCCCCTCTCTCTCTCTCATCTATCCATTTATCTTGCTATCTCTTTTGCTCGGCAGCCATCTCTCACTTTCGCTCGCAGGGACTTTTGCGGGTTGCGTCAGTCAGCGCCTTGCCAATGTCCTCGTCCATGTCCATGTCCTCGTCCTCGTCCTGTATCTGCATCTATGCACACTCGCAAAAAATATGACGTGGTCTCTTCTCCTTATTTTTTTGTTTTTTGAGTTCCATAACCAGATGGGTTTAATGAGATCACGAATTCCCTAATCATTTTGTTAACCTTAGTACTGTGGAACTTCAAACTCTACTCAAGGAGATATTATTTAATTAAGGCAGGCAATTAAACGAAAATTGGTTTAGTTATTTATTAAAAAGTCTGCACTTGCAAAGATAAAATTGAGTGATACTCTTCAAGGAATCATTACCATTTACTTTTGACTTTCTGTACTAAGCTTTGTTAAATTAATGAAATATAACTTTCCACATAGAATGAAATATTCAATAATAAATCCCTTGAGATCTCAATTAAAGTTTTTTATTAAAAGAAATACATTTTGCAAAGTGCATTCATTTCCATCTGTGGTTTCTTTATGGCATACATTTCTGCCAGCCATGGCGATTATGAGCGAGCAGGGCGACTCGGACCCGCGAGCGGTGAACCCGTCCGTCCGTCCAACCCCCACCCACCTCCCTACTACCCCCTCCCCCTCGCATATCCTTGCATATCCTTGTGCAAACAAATTTGCGCTGCCATCTTTCTATGCTGCGACTTTGGACGCGGCGGCAAGGCCAGTCTTTCATAGCTTTCTTGAAGGACTTCCCTTGGATATTGACTGCTCGAAATGAGAGCGAGCATATCCTGCGGCGGCTACATTCAGAATACCCAACCCCAACCCAGAAGGATACTCACCTGACAGGGCGCCTGGAAGAGATAGGCATCGCCGAACGCGGTGCTCAGGCAGAAGATGTAGTCGCGTTTGGGGTGCTCGGGTATCGGTTGCATAATTGCACCATCCACGATAATCAAGTGCTTGGGCGCCGCCTCCACGCTCCTGCCCTCGCGGGAGTCGCAGGGATAGAAGAGCAGCGTGGTGCCCTTCAGGCACACCCAGTAGCCCTTCCAGCCCCGCTTCCTGGCCAGCTCGATCTGGTGCTTCTTGCGTAGTAACCATTTCTTTACCGATAGGAAGCTGCAAGCAAACATTACGTTGTGTTTTCTCGGTTTCGGTTTAGGTTTCGGTTTGGGTTTCGGTTTGGGTTTGGGTTTAGGTTTAGGTTAGTGGGAGTTTGGGTGTAGAAAAATTCGAACTTGGGAATGGAGGTAACTTAATCCCGGGGAGAACTTCAACAGCTTCGCCATCAACCCATTAACCTTTGCAGCTAATCAAGATACGGTGAAGGAATGGGGCCATGTCCTGCGTACATAAGTCTTCAAGCGGTTTATCATAACATGAAGAGAAAGCTAAGTAAAAAGAGTCGCAGTTTGGCATGCCCTATAATATTTCTTTACTTAATATTGTTTAGAGGATTTACCCGATAAAAAGTGGTCAAAATTTAACTCCTGTTGATGTTAAGGTATTTAAAGAATGTATGTATTTATAAACAATCTATTTATTATATTTTGTAAGCATCTAGAATATCCGTTTTTCTTTAACACACCAAATACTTCACGTGCGACAGACATTACTTTATTAACTTGCCAGCTAATCCAAATCAAGATAATATAAAAGTTATGGGCTCGCCATCTAATCTCGCAGCAGAGCTTAGCACACTTTTGGCCACAACTTTGATACCCTCTACACGGACATAATAACGTTAATCCCCGGCGGCTGCTTTCTCCACCTCTGACCACCTTAATCACTGTGAAATTATGTTCCCCGAGGAGCTGCTGGTTATTTATGATGACTTGTTGGACGTGAGCAGGTTTGGCCACAGGACATGGGTGAAGACCCATCCACCCACTTCGTATACGTATCTGGCTGCCAGATTACATTTACCGGAGGCATAAATTCCCCAGATTCCCCCAAGGAAGAGATGAGGGGAAATAGGAAGAGGACTAGGATCTGAACTGAAATATCCAACTTACCCGGCTTTGCGAACAGCTCCCGTGCAATTGAAGGAGGATGCAGCGGTGCCAGTGGCCTTTGCTTTATATGGTGACGCCATGACACTTTCCCCATCATCTTCATCCGAAACGGCGGTAGTTAGGCTCATTCGATCATCGTCCGAGATCTGCAAATGGGAAAAACCAAACCGAAACGGTCAGCGAGAGGTGTTCACAATTCGAGAAAATCAACAATCAAGAATCAAGAATGTGGGCAGCCAATTTAATTAAGGCGCCGTGGCAACACGTACGGGGTTTCGGTTGCCGGCGATAAAATTCAATAAATCGAAGGGAAAATAATTGAAATAATTAAGTCATAATTAGCAGGCAAGGGCAAGGGATGGATGGGCTATATGGTATCTGGTACTCTGGTAATGGTAAGCCCCTTCGGACGAAGCCATTTGAAACCAATAATGGCCAGGTTGCTGTTGCTGGTTGCTCTTGTTGCTGTTGCTGCTGTTGTTGTTGCTGGTTGCTGTTGTTGTTGCTGTTGTCAGTGCCGACAGCAACATTTGTTACGTATGTCGTCGATAAAGCAATTTGTCTTCTCTTCTCGCCTGCATTTTTAGCTGTTGGCTGCTTGGCTGACTGGCTGACTGGTGGGTGGGTTGGTGGGTTGTTGGGTTGATGGGTTGGTTGGGGGGAAAAAAGAGGGGACGGGACAGGAGATAGATAGATAGATAGGGCAGACCCAGACAACAATTGACAAAATGGCTGCGAGATTCTCGGAGGGCGAAGGGAAATAAATGGCGAAAGGCAAACTGTTACTTGGCAATGTTATTTCATCAAAAGCCGGATCGTCCAACCGACTCACTCACTAACTCACTAACTGACTGACTCTCTGACTGAATGCTGTTTGCCTTTGGACCGGCTGGCCATCTCCCAGCTTCCTTCCGCCCGCCTCGCAGCCATTTTGCCATCTCTGCAGGAAGAAGAGGCCAGCAAACGCAAAAAAAAAAAAGAAAAAAAAAAAAAACGAAAAAAAAAAATAATATACAGAAAGGATGAGATGGAGACTTTTTGGTCCATGTGGGAATTCAAGCCAAGACCAAAGTCGATGGCTACGTGTCCCGCGTGGCAATAAAAATTGGTTTGCCCATTCATTCGTTTCAATCGAGGTGGGCGGACCTCAACCGGAGCCACGCCCATCTGCCCAACGCCCATCTGCCCATTTGCCCAACTGTCGCTCACTTGCTTTTCATGCCATTTTTATTTGAGTTCCCAAGGAAATCAATTTACAATGTGTTTATTCGTTTCGTCTCTCCTTCCTGTGGATGGGGTCCTTCGACCAGGACGAAGAAGGAGTCCTCCGGCTGCCAGTTCCCCAGTTCCCCGGGTAACTGCGATACTTCAGCCAGCAGGAGCCACCACCCCTGCTTACGTTTTTGGCAATTTTCAAACATTTTTGCTCATATGCATGTTTTACAAGTTATTTATTTGACTGCCTTCTTATTTTTTATTTTTTTTTTTGCTTCTTTTTTTTGGATGGGGTAGTGGGTCCTGATGTTTGCTCTTCGGGGGGTGAGTTGGAAAGGGGAGGAGGGGGTTAAAGGACCTCCTGTGGCGCAGAGCCGAAGTCTTTTGCCAGTCAGCCGGGGTCATGTGTACTTAACCCACAACATCGACGAGCGGAGAGCGGTGAGCGAAAAGGAGCGAGCAAGTTTAATCAAATTTTATATTAATCGAAGAGCAGTGCAAAGGCATGCAAATAACCGAAGGAGCACAACCTGAGACGTGGCTTGCTTAGCGACTGGAGGAGGACTGAGGACGGGGTCCTTGCGGCACATGATGATGATGGCCAGGAAGCGAAAGGACCCAGATCAAAGCGGTTACAAGCTGCGAGGACGAAAAGGGAGGAGGAAGGGCAAGGGGGTTGGGGATGGGCAGAGCCACCCAATCGATATCTGTGCGTGTCACTTTAAGTGGCTCAAAGAGTCGGGGGCGGAAAATTTAAAAGGAAACTTCAGAAACACTCCTGCACCTGCACTCCGCCAAAGCGAAATAGTTTCCGCTTGCTCAATGAAGTTTTCCATGAAATCATCAAGCCGAGCGGAAGCTGTCGAGTGGAACTGTTGCAGGAAGGGGGCGTGGCGGGGCGGGGAATCAAATGGTGGGTTGGGGTTGAACACCCAGTACACCCCGTACAGGTTACCATTTAAATTTAAGCACTGACCCTGAGAAGTAGGTAGAAAAAAAAAGGAAGCCACCTCTGGTGCGGTTCATTTGAATTTAAAATCCAATTCCCCAAGTGAGAAATCCACAACAATCAAGCAACCTTTCTTGCAACCACATTTCTTGATTAAAGAGGTTCATTTAAATTCCGAATATAAGTAACCCAAATTTGCAAATTAGGTAGGTTCATTTGAATTTACACAAAAATGTAGTTACTCCAATAAAAGAGTACTATTTAAAAGCTAGTGAAAAAGCAGAGTGAAAAATCTACCAATATCAATTATTTATAAACTGTACTCACAGAAAAATTCTCAAATCATTTTTGTAAACTAAAAATGATTCGTATCATTTTCAATTTAAAATTCTGAGTGGACACAGAGAAACACTAAAATCATTTCCCATTAAATTTGTGTGACTGAAGGAGGATCTTTTGGAACTAAAAACCAAACAGACTCTGAAATAAATTCTTACATTTTGCCAACCGTCTTTGTAACTTCATTTGAATTTGAAATCTAGACCGGGACAGTGAACAATCTGCTAATCAAATTTTGTGATTTAAAGAGGTCCGGGTACTTGGGATACCCTTTTACAGGAGATTACAACGCATTTGGAATTCCCGCTGGTCATCTCTGGGGGAGATTGGCCCTCGTCCAAAGAGTTTGTCAAATGATTCATGAATTTTTAATTGGCCCAAAAAGTGGCAGAAGGTAGACAGACGAACTGCCTGCCTGCCAGCCTGTCGACTTGTTTCTTGGATTTCATCAGGCGAACTGAAACTGACAAAGGGATTTCACCTCTGGGCCAACATCCCTCTCCCTTTCTACCCTTTATACCCCTCTCTCTCCCTCTCACTCTCTCGATGTTTTGGCCAAATGGCCAAGCTCGCACGAATGGCCGAAAACGTTCACATGGGTAAGCCTAAATGGGCAACCCAAAACACGAACACGAATGCGAACACGGCCAAACAACAATCACACAAAAGATTAAATGCCAGCCAGTCTGGGAGGGGGAGGGGGAGGGGCTTTCCCTGCTTTCCCTGCTTTCCCTGGACTTTCCCTGCTACCCATAAACGTCCCCCGTGTTCGTCGTCACCTCGCCAAACATCCATCCAAACGCACCTGATTACTTTGGGGCCTAATACGCCATATCTCAGCATCGGTGCAAAATCAAAATTCAATTTACGCACAGACGAACCCGCCCACTTAGGCCTTCTGATGGCCTCTATATGGAGCACATCTATACTTACAAATATATATATATATATGCGTATATATATATCCGCATATACGTACGAGTATATCCGCACTGGTGAGCCAGGTGCTTTCGTTACGATTTCTAATCAAGAATTGATTGTGATCCCTCGATGCGGCTGTCGTTCACGTTTCAGCCATAATTATCAATGACTTTTGAATGTCAAATGTGGACGAGATGAGCTGGGGATACGATGTCATTGGCACTGCCATTGTCACCTCCCATTTATTCGAATTTCCACCCACCACCCCCCAACCCCCCTTTTCCATCCCCCACCCCCCTTGAAGTTCTTCATTTTGATGGCGAAAATCTTTTCATATGTCGCTGTCAAAAATTACAATATTTGATAGAGTGTTTATACAGAGGGTTTTCCCTCGACAAGAATCTATATATATGGATACTCTGGGGGATGGGGCAAAGTTATTCGGTGGATGTGGCACGTTTCTGGCATTGCTGCGATTAAGTGAGGCATTAAAGAAGTTCTCTGGTTGCCGGCGCAAATGTTGTTAGCCAAACGAAATTGATTCAAAGACGAAATCTGCCAGATAGGTGATGGGGTTTTTCTCTAGCTAAAATACGAGAGAAAATACGTTCAGACGTTGCTGCTGACTTGTAAAGTTTTGTTTCGTTTTGGTTCTTTTCGGTTGAGTTCTGTTGTGTTCGCACAGTCAAATTGCTGCATTGCATTGCGAAAATCAATTTGGAATTATCCCCGAGCTGAGCTCATTTCATTTGTGGGTTCCTCCGTTGGGGGGAAGAGGCGGTGGCAAACCTGCAATGTCATTCCGATTTGATTAAATATTCCAGCCAGCGCGGAGCGCCCACCTAATTGGCTGAAGGTGAAACTGTTTAGCATTGAATCAATCAAAATTAACAAGCAAGACGGAGCAAGGAGGAACCTTGGTGGAACTGGTGTGCAGTAATCATGGCACAGATGCGAAAAGACCGTGGCATTAAGGTATTCAGATCATGTGGACGGGTAACAAGCGTTAATTAGAGCGAAGTGGGAATGGCTGTGGAATTCGCAGATGTGCCACCTTAAATCTGGCAAATCCAATTCCACACTACTCATCCCATTCACTCGGGGCGGGAAAATCTCTTTTAGCCCGCTGATCTGGCCATTAATTAATATGCATACCCATTCAGTTGATAAGCCAACTAAAGCCAGGCGCTCCTCCATTGAAGCTCACTCATTTGAATATCTGTGTGTGCTTCTCGTTGCTCGGTTGGTATCTTTGTGCAGATTCAAGGACTGCATGTAAAACCCTTGACCAGTGTATTTATTTGCCTGTCAGGATAACCGAACGAAGCTTTGCAACAGGATGCAGGACACAGGATGCAGGGTAAACACACACAGATGCCATGCGTGTGTGTGTGTGTTCCCAATGAATTCTGAAGTTGTTACTCACATTTAGAGGCTATATATCCGAGCATGGTCTTCTTTATCTACCTATTTTCAAATGCCCCATGCATTGCTTTTCATTTTCCGGCCACGCCCACTTTCCACCTCTCTATCTCCCTCTCTTTCATTCACTCATTCTCTTGTTCGTTCGATTTTCCCATCAGCTTTTTCGGACAAATGGCCTTTTATCACTTTGAAGCCGTTTGATTCATGCGTATTGCAATCAATGCCATTCATTACCGAAAAACTAAATACAAGTACCAGTTTTTCTCACCCCCGATTTCCCATTTGCCACCTTTCACTCCCCCTCCCTCAACTCCCCCTACAACTCCCCGCTTTCCCCATGAACGCTATTTGTCCGTGTGTTAAGAGCTTTTCTCGAATGGCGCGGAGTGCGGGGTTTTTGGGGGGCTAATGCTCTAATTTATTGCTCCTTTGTGGAGCCAGAAAAGGAGCCCAGGAGCAGCTCGAGCGTGAAAAGGATGCTTTGGCTTTGATCAACGTTTTGTTAGGCAGCAGAAAATGAATTTGTAGCAGACAGACAATACACTTAACTGAAGGAATTCGCGGTGGGTTGGGTTGGGTTCTTACTAAGCGGGGGGAATTGCTCTCTGCCTTCGCCGCTCCAAGGCGACATTTTCTCACGCGATTTTCATTCATTTTCCACGGGAGCAAAAGTTCAAAGCATGCCTCCACAAATGTATTCAACGCAAGTGATTGGGAAAAGGTTTTTTCTTGGGAAAGTTGCAGGTTGCAAGAAGAGCGTCATTTATGAGCAATGATTTGGTATTGGAATCGTATCTGAATACATATATAACTACATATTATTTTATTTTAGCTAGTAATTCCGTTTGGTAATTTGTAATTTTTCGTTTAATATTATTACTTTGTAAGAGTCAGATATATAAGCATTACGTACTTAAATGTCTGCTAGAAAATTCTTAAATAGCCTATTACAAAAAATAGGAACACTTAACCATAGAGTTCACAATAAATTTAGTGAGATGTAAATGTTAATAAATATGTATACCACATCTATAATGCCATAAAATTCAACTAATGCATTTGGAAACTTCTGTGAGAACTATAAAATTGTTTAGAAAATAAACCCATATAGTAAACCCCTTTTGGAATCAGTAAATCCTACCTTGCCAAGGAACATTTCGTTGTACTGCTTGCAATTAATAGAATAATTTTACAATAGTATTTGCTATAAATTGAATGAGCTATAAGAGTTTATAAACATATATTCCATCTATACTGTCATAAAATATGACTTATGCATTTTGAAACCTCTATAATAACCATATGATATACTTATAGTAAACCCCCTTTCGGGATCAGGTAATCCTACCTTGCGAAAGAACATTCCGTTGCACTGCTTGCAATTAATAGAATAATTTCACAATAGTATTTGTTATAAGTTTAATGACCAATAAGAGTTAATAAACATATAACCCATCTATATTGCTTTAAAATATAACTTATGCATTTTGAAACTTCTATGAGAATTTTAAATTTGTTTAGAAAATAAACCCATATAGTAAACCCCGTAAGGGATCAGGTAATCCTACCTTGCGAAGGAACATTTCGTTGCACTGCTTGGCGGTGCTGCGCCAATGGCGATGGCGATAGCGGGAGTTGCCCAGCTTGAGCGTTCCCTGGAGATCGGCGGCCTCCTCGACGACGCGCCGGATGCACTGGTAACGCAGGCGGTTGCATCTGTGGATCGGTTGCATGGGCACCACCCCGTGTTCGGGTTCCGATTCCGCACCAGAACGAACCTGATCCTCATCATCGTCGACCCAGGCACTCAGCACTCCCTCCACGAAATTGTACAGCATCTGGATGTTGGCCTTCATGGGCGCCGAACCGGAGGGCACCTGGGCCTCCGTCTTGATGAGCTTCCTGTTCTGGCACACCTCCCGCAGCAGGTTCTCGCCGAAGTGCACCGTTTTGTGGCGCCTCCTCCGCGAGTTCAACGAGGCAGCCGAGGCGGACTTCATCAGCTTCCCATTCGAGTGGTGCACATAGGCGGGCAGTGGTTGCACTAGTGTGGTTGTGGGCTCCAGCCAGGCGAGTCCCGATCCCTGAGCTCCAGAGCCCATTCTGCCATGATGTCCTCCTCCGCCCAATCCCAATCCCAAACCTCCTCCTCCATTCGAACTGGCTGCGGAATCGCCGCGCTGCAACGTATTTGGCTGGGAATTGCTGCGGTAGTGATGATGCGGATGCGGATGCGGTGGCGATGGCAGTGGCTGCATCTCCAAATCATCGAGTGGCGCCGGCTCAATGTCGTCCAAGGTCGTCGGGGGCTGGGCCAGTTGGGTTCGCAGGCGATTAAAGTCGGCGGCACAGCGAGGCAGTGAGTTGCATTTGGCGGCATTGAGGCATTTGCGATTCTGGCAGCTGAGTAATGGAGCGCACGACCGGCAATCATGGCAGATGACCAGCCTTCGCTCGCTGGGTGGCAATCCCGGTGCTCCAACTCCAACTCCCACTCCCACTCCCAATCCCCCAGTGCTTCCCTGAATCCCTGCCGAACCCAAAATCCCACCCGATGGCGGGGGCGTGGCCGTTGTGGAGGGCGTGGTCGGGACATCGGAGCCCATCGCTCCAACCAAATGAGCCGGAACGGCATGCAGCTGCACCTGGGCCAACTGCTGATGCCGGGCGAGATTGACCGAGCTCACCGACGACGTGATGCACTGGCGTGCCTGGCACTCCTGGTACCTGCAATGCGGATCCGTGCAGATGGGCAGCAGCGGGCAATCCGGGTCGGTGCAGGGTCCGGGGGATGGGGAGCGCGGTGCGCGTTCCGCGCTGGAGGACTTGCGCTTGTGGCCACCGGAACGCTGGGCGGACATGTCGGACACCGTGGCGGATCGCTGGGTCTGGTGGCGCCGCGAGCGCTCCTTCCTGCTGCCACTGGACTCCTTCTTCGGCACATACTGATACCGCTCCTTGTGCGGCTTCGCGTAGAGTCGCTCCAAGTGGGTGGTATTTACATTCGAGGAGGTTCCTCCACCACTTGCCACCACTTCGCTGGCCGAGTGACGCAGTCTCCGCTCCCGGGAACGCTCCTCCCTTCGCTGGCAGAGCGGCGTGTGCGACAGGGCACTGGGCACCGCATAGCCACTGGGAATGCTCACCCGTTCCGGCGGCTGAGGAGCTAGTGGCTGCTTCCCCAAGGATTGCAACTTGTGCAGGGGATACGCTATCCAATCGGCGGTGAGCTGCTGCTGCTCCTCCTCACTCACGGCTCCACTGTGGCCCAAGGAGTGCCTCTTGCGATGGCTGGCCTTCGCCTGATCCTGGGCATCCTCCTGGGAATTGGAACGGGGCTGGGCATCGCCACCACTGCCATTCCGGCGATGATGCGACCGACGGGATTTTCCCTTCTCCGCACCGCCACTTGTACCACTCTGCATTTTGGTTAGCCACTCCACGATGTCCGTTTTCAGGAGGGAGAACTCACAGGGTCCGGAACTCTGACGGGAAAGGGGTTTCTTCAGCAGCTCCGACAGAGCCTTGGCATAGGCGGAACCCACTGCCTTATCAGCATCCGAGGGTAACCTTTCCCTTTCCTTTTTACGGGGCAGATGCTCCAGCAACCAGTCGGGTAGCTCATCCTTGAGGACCGTAATCTCACTGGGACCCGAGGAGGTGCGCACCGGCTGAATCGGGCTGGCGGTCTTCTGGAGCTTCAGCCACTCCATGGTCTCCTCGCGCACCTGGCCACCTTCGGCGGATCGGGCGGAGTGGCGCTGCTGGGCCCGCCGATCGAACCACTCCAGCTGCTCGGAAGGCTGGCGCAGAGCGCTCTTCGGCATGGTGGCCACCTCCTCGGCGCTCTTCTGCCTCCTGGGTGGCAACTGCGGTCTCTGTTCGATCCTCACGTGAGCATGGCCAGTGGGTTCGGTTAGCCGAACGGATCCCTTCCGGCGGATGCACTTCTGCTCCATGGTCTCCTCATCGCGAGCTCGCACTCTCCGCGTGATTTCGAAGATGTCCCCGTTGATCTGGTGATAGAACTTCTCCACCTCGACGCCCCGATCGAATTCCTCCTTCGCCGTGGGCTTGGCATGCGAACGCGACGGGGGGGCGTGGCGGGGGCGGCAGTTGAGAGCCCTCTTCCAGCACCTTCTTCTTCTTCTCATCACTCTCATCGGAGGAGGCATTGAGCAGAGCACCCGAACCCGCCGCTCCACCATCGACGACCCAACTTATGGATCGCTCACCGCTCGGCGCTTCGCCCTTTTGCAGCAATCTGTCCAGACTGCCATGATGGGTCTTGATAGTGGTCGAGCCCAGACTGCTCGGCGTTTCTCCCAGGGATTGGAGACGGCATTGGGCATTGCAGATGCAGACACCCGGACGCTTTTTGCTGCCGAAGCGAAACAGTTGGCTGGCCAACTGGGAGACATTCTCGCCGAGACCCAAGCCCAATCCTCCACCGCCACCGCCGGAAGCGGCGGCTCCACCCGCATCCCTTCCCGAGGCCGTTGTTGCCGATGTCAGGCGTCCTCCTGGATGCGCCACTGGTGTGATGTCGACGATCACGCAACAGCAGTGCAGCGAGAAGGACTTCTTGGGATCACCGTCGCTGCTGCAGTCCGCCCCACCGCCAGCACTTCCGTTTCCGTTTGCTCCAGGACCTCCAACCCCGACTCCGCCTTTGCCACCTCCTCCTCCTTCTCCTCCGCCGCCTCCTCCTCCTCCACCACCCGCTCCTCCTCCTCCTCCTCCACCTCCTCCTCCTCCTCCTCCTCCACCACCTGCACCACCTGCACCGCTAACCGCCGGCGGTGCAGCACCACTATTAACGCTCTGATCGCCGCGCTCGCTGTTGTTGCCTTGTTGGGCGGCCAGAATGAATCACAGCGACAGCCGACGGGGTCGAGGTCCTTGTCGTCCTTGATGATGCTGTCCTAGCCGCCGCCTCCTCAGTTGGCCATGTTGCATCCGCTTTCAGTTCGCCATTTTCTACGCGATTCGTGTATTTGTGTACATGCACCCCGAACAACAACTATTTAGTGCTGATTATTATTCATTTGATTAATTAAACTAAAAGCTCATTTTGCGGCACAGTCATTTATTACATCGGCAGGGGTTGTTGTTGTTATTATTATTCGTTGTTGTTGTTTTCGGGTTTTGCTGGTTGCTCTCGTTGCTTTGGCAATTTATCTCACACGCGTCGCACGCATTTATCTATAATTAATTATTTTTACTTGTTGCCAGCAAAGCGAGCGGCAAAAAAGAAATCACTTGGCTTGCATTGTGTTCGTATTTTGTGTGTGTGTGTGTGTGTGTGAGTGTGTTTTGTGGGTTGTGTATTTATTCGAGGATTTATTTAATTATATTTGTTTTGCTCTATAAATCACAAAGCAGTTGGCCTGGCTTTCCACCCTCTATTCTCTTCTCGTTTTCTTTTTTTGCGAACAATTTGTGTTATTTTGCACTGCTCCAATTTTAATTGTGTTTAATTTATTGACTGCAGCGACGAAAGTCTTTAATTTTCGTACTCATAACAACAAGGGCAATAAATGTTTCGCAGTAATCTATGTTTGTATGGCATTAGCGAAAATAATCTGGTGAATTTCAATAAAATAAAATTAAACAGCTTTTGATCTGGTAATTAATTGAGCTAAGCTGTGTCATAATGGAGCTTTTAATGGACAGGGTCGAAAGTTCAGTTGTGAGTTTATTTATGTAATGGCTTTTAAAACGGCTTCGAAAATCACAGACAGATTAAATTTGGCTGTGAATATAATACTCAAAGAATTTGGTAAAAATTTGCGAGCTGCGAGAAATGAACTGCGCTCAAAAACAATGTTTAAGCTCGCTTTATACTTGGATTTAAATTGCTTTTCGTTTGACAAATGCCAGAAACTCGCAAGATTAGCGAAACATATGAGAGATCCGTTTTTAGCAGCTTCCCCCACACTTTGCGAAGCGTGCTGCTCTACACGAAAATAATCCCTGACAAATACCCCCACATGTCTAGGCGTAGGCGCTTTAATTAGCATATATGTATAAAGGCAACGCAAGAGCAAAAAAAAAAAAAACAATGTTGCATGTTTTTACTTTGGGGGCAGAGATTGTGAGCCCTAGCTCACCATGAGGCCATGAGGCAGCTTTCTTCGGTGTTATTTTAAAGTTGCTCTGCCGAAAAGTTTTTGCAACTCGTGCGCAAATATTTTGTTTGTTATATTGCTAGCATAAATTTGTTGGCTATCTGCACAGACACTCTGCCTTCCCTACATCTCTCCGCTGGCGAAAGGGGGCATATATTTATAAGCGCATACATAAATACTTTTCGGGCTGGCAGCAAATGCATAAATTTCATGTCTACATCTACACGGAGATATGACTCGGGAGAAACTGCTGCTCCGCTACGGTCATGTTTGTGTTTATGCAAAGGAGTTTGGCAAAGTTTTTTCCTTTCCATTCCTTTCCTTTCGTTTCGTTTCGTTTCGGCTGCTGCCAAAAAGTTTGCTTGTTAAGTGAAAGGATTATATGATCCAGTGGCAGTGAAAGAGGGAGAGAGGCTGGCAGGAAAAACTTAAAAATACACAGCCGTATAGAACAACAAAACTTTTCCTATTTTTATGTTGTGAGCTGCAGCAGCAGCAGCACCTAAGAAGAAATCCCATACACAACAACTTGCCACAAAACTTGAGTTGTGTTGATAGTTTTTATAGCCTACTTTTCTGCGCCGCATGAACAATGTGGAGGGGGACTAAAAGGGAGAGAAATCCTGCGAGTCCTGCGAATTAGTGTCTTAGGCGAGGTGGGGTGGCAAAAGTTTTTCGGCCAGCTTGTCCCGTTTAGATTAGAGCCGTCGATAAGTTTCAAGTTTGCCACATTTGCCATGTGTTTAGTTGGCAACTGAGTGTGCGTGCTGGAGATTGCACTGCATGTGTGTGCGTGTGTGTGTGTGGCAAGGCTCAACTAGTTGGCAACTTGGGAAATGCGAAAGGACCTCCCCTCGCGGCTTAAGCCACCACTTGAAAAGGTGCTTGGGCGCATTTGTTTAGCGATTTTCGCTTGATTCGGCCAATAAAGTTAATTTCTTTTTACCCCAAAAGAGGAAAAGTTTCACGGCAACTCCCGCTCCCAGCTTCCCGTTCCCTTTAGCGTGTTAAATGACATTTTTATATCGTTTCGATTGTTGTTTCTTGGCCGACAAAACTTTTCCAAATTGCCAAGGACCAAGGACCAAGGGTCCCAGCTCAAAAATTTCCCTAGCACGCGAGGGAATCCATCTGAAGATGGGATCAGTGAGATAGTAATGGCCAAACAGGTAGCAAAGCTCCTTTTCTCAACTCGAGGCGAACTCAACCAAATGGGCTGGCACTTTAAAAAGTTACCCTTTCATTTAGGGCTTTGGGAAGAATAAGAAAATGTGGCAGGAAAATCCACTCGAAGCTCGATGGCTCATAGACTTTATGGCAAGGATGTGGATATGGATGTGGATGTGGCTCAGATAAATTAGATTTGCCCTTAATGCATGGCCAGCCACAGGCCTTTCGTTCCCTATCTCAGTCTCAGTCTCAGTGCGAGTTATTTACTCTTAGTTGAAATTATTTTTAATAGATTTATCCACATCAACTGGGGGCTTTAATGCGTTTAACACACACACGCCGCCCACTAACGGAACGAAGGACCTGTATCCTGTATCCATAAATATAAATACGTTTAATGGTTGGTAAGGACAAACAACAACTAAATGTGCCACACCAAATGCTGCAGCTCTCTCTATCTCTCTTCCTCTCTTTCCTGTCTGCTATCTCTCTCTTTTTATCTCAGACTGCGAGTGTAGGTGTATGTGTTTGTGTGAACTTCGACAGGCATGACGTTGATAATATCCTTGCACATGTATGACGTTGCTGCTGCTGCTTCTTTCGCTCGGTTATCCTTGCGACAGAAGGCGCAGCCTTTTCAATATGCCACCAACACAGACGATTATTATTGTTGTTTTTTCGTGTTTCGTTCGCATCTTGTTGATATTTTATTAGCCCGACTTTTGTGGGCCAAAACGCCACGCAAAAAACAATGCACACACCAACACACCAACACACACACACGCACACAGTTTGTGGAAACTTTTCTTTTTTTTTCATGCCTCAACATTTGTGTTATTCATTTTTTTCCGTTCGATGGCGATTTAAATTTTTCGCCCGCGTGCTAAAAATATATCTGGGCAATGTACATAGGGACAAAAGGCGAGAGAGAAGCAAAACAAGTCCGCAATATAACATGGAATCTCGACACGACTCGAATCTCTGGCGCGTTTCAAGTTTTTCCACTTTTTTTTTATATTTTTTTTTTTTTTTTTTTTTGCCAGCGAGTTTTTCCTTTTTCGCGTTGTTTTTGTTGTGCCCCTAAATGTCGGTGTGTGCGTGTGTGTGTGTGTTTGGGTGCTGCCGCTGTGTTGGTAAATATGTGTTAAGTGCGTTGGTATTTGCCTGTACCCTTGTAGGCCCCCCACGCCCCCCGCCGCCCATTCCGCCGCGAATCCTTCACAGCTGCTCTGGCATTTTTCAACACTTTTTTCTGTTATTGTTGTTGGGCGGGATTTTCATTTGGTGCGCCGCCAGGTTTTGCAACTTGTTAATTTGGCTTTAATGCCTCGCCTGACAATCGAAATTTTCGTTCGTTTGATTTTCCCCCAGCAAGTGCTCTCTATTTGCTTTCCTTTTCTCCTGCTTTTTTTATTTGCCTTTCCATTCCGTTTTTTTTTTTTGTGATTTTTTTGTTGCGTTTAACTTGTGTGCTAAATTATATGGTCTATGGTCTGCGTCAATTTCAACGCTGCGTGTGTTAGTCCCTCAGTCGACATGAGTGTTGGTGTATCTATGTGTTCTTGATTTGCTGTTTGCAAGTGTGTAAGTGTCTGTGTGTGTGTGTGTGTGTGTGAGTGTTGCTGTTTTGTAATTTGATTTCTTTTTTTGCCGCCCGCCTCCCGCTGAGGCATCAGCATCAGGACTATAGCTTCGGCTACAGCTTGAGCTTCAGGTTCAGATTCAGATTCGGATTCTGATTCTGATTCTGAATCAGGTTCAGATTCAGATTCAGTTTCAGTTTCACTGCTTCTACTTTTTAACGAGGATGATGCGATGATGAGGCGCTGCTACTGGGCCACCGCTGCTGACGCACTTTTCTCGGATTTTTCCTGCTTTTCCTGCCCCGTTTTCAGATTTGATTTGATTTTTATTCGATTCGATTCGATACGATTCGATGCGACTCGATTTCACTTGGCGGCACACACACAAGCTGGAATTTATGATTTATTTTCCTCCGTTTTCTTTTTTTT